GTATGTAAAAGGGCTGATGATGATGATTATACTATCGCTATTGAACTTGCATGTTGACGGCGCACGTTTAGCCAGGTGTTATGTTAATTTGTACAGTTTGTTTTTTTGGTTCTTAGAATAATATTGTCAATAATACATTGACTTCCTACTCAACTTACTCTAGAAATCAGTTTTATCGAATATATACTTATTAAGTATCTAGAGTAGTCACGCCTCTTAAACCAACCGGCATATTAATCAATAATCGAAAAATATGTCTTGTTATTTCTGATATTGTGATGGAAATAGACTTCATAATCTTTTAACACTAACTAATTCACATTCCAATAAGACTTCTCCGAGTTAAATAAAACAGAGAGAAAAAAGCAGCTCCTGCTGAGATACTTGCTGGTTCTTCTAAATGCAAGGGTCACATCCCGTAGTTTGTCGACTTTCACCAGTACTATGTAACAGCTAGACTTAATTGATTTTGTTATTTATATTAATATAATTCGACGTATGGATGTATTTGTATGTGACAAATACAAACTATATTTTGCGCTACGCTTTTTTTTCTTCATTCCAAACCTGAATTCGGATAAAAGTTACGAGTAACTAATAAGTTGTCTCATGACTTATGTTGACATATAAACCAAACATCGTTCCATTACACGTATCATAATAAATAATTTAAACTTACGATCCAAATAAATTTAAATTAATTAGATATGATAAGAAATACGAAACGATGTCATATTTATTCAGTCAGAAACAAAATTGAATTAATATCATAGACAATATCCAAACTGGGTCTGCTTTATGACATTATTCGTGATCGTCTTGATTGTCCAGAGCTTCTCAAACTTATACTCTTTAGTACTCTCCCTCGTCGTACTAGGTCCAAGCACCTGCTACATGTTCCATTGCATTGCACCAATTATGGTCAAAACTCTATACTCTCTAGGTTACCCAAACTTTATAATAGTAAATTTAGTGATGTCGACCTCTTTGTTGGTTCTAAAAAACAATTCCTATCCAGTATCACTAATCCAAAAACACTAGTTGTTTGATTGAACACGAGTAGACTGTATCGCAATAACATTTTTTTTTCTTTGTCACAAAAGTAAAGTATGTGTAGGGTATATGCATTTATTTATTTATCAAATTTTTTATCTTATACTTAAAAAATACAGTCATATAACTATAAATGCAAAAATGTATATATTTAACTTAGAATGCACATAAAATCCTAATCCAAGTATTCTATTATTGTTATATTAACAAACTAACAACCAAACGCTTTCCCTTGAGATAATTAGAATATTTTTGTTTTTAGCACTCATCTGTTTCTCTGATAAATAATAAAATTGTTATTTGTTGAATAGCCGTAATTGGCCTTAGATTGTAATTAAAATGTTAATATTAGTTTGTACTGAGCTGTGTACTAGCCCTTAAATAAACATCGTAAGTGACATTTAGTATGATTTCAAAAACTAGTTTTTATTTTTTCCGCATTAAAGACTATATTTTCGAATTGTTGTTTTTTTCGATGATCTTGATATCGATCTGAATGGCGAAAAATTGGTTATTTAATGTCGAAGATAAAATTAAAAAAAAATTGATTTACGATAAAATCAAATCGAGCAGTCGTAACAGGTTAAATCAAATACCTGTTACAGCTGTTCTTGTTATCTTAATTTAACAGTTCCGAAAACCTGTTATAAAAAAACAGCCTGTTATTTTCTAACTACAATCAAAATTAGTATAGCTAAGGCCTAGTAAAAACAATCCAAAACTTTCCTTCATGCTTATCAGGCTTAGGACTGTCAGTTTGTCAAGATAGATAATGCATTCTATTTTTCTGTTTAGCACGCGTAGCATGACAAACTCGAGAAACGCTTTGTCTAGACTCGTTTGTCAGTTTCTTGGGTCGAGAGTGAGATATCGTATAGGCGCACCCGAGAAAAGTGACATTTGAGAGTAGACAAAACGTTCTCGCGTTCGTCATGCTACGCGTGCTGGTGTCATGTGGTGAAGATTTGTGTTTTGCTGTGCAATACACATTACCTATATGATTATATTTTTATTTCCTCTGTAGTATAGTCCATAATATATTATTAATTATATTTAAGGGCATAACAAACTGGCGCATTTAAAAGTTTGGAATTGATTGTATGTACATGATTTGATATTTACAGTAGAATATGTACATATTTACAAGTTTAAACTTATCTAATATTTACAAATTCTGGTGCAGAAAAAGCAGGTGTTGCAATTTTCTGACCCCGAGGCGTGTTCGCCTGTCATTCATTAGGTACCCTGCTGCGGAGAATACCCGTTCACAGGGTACAGATGACGCCATGGCATTCATTTTTGTCACCGCGATTTTATACAGGTTTGGGTAGACAAATCTGTGGGCTCTCCACCAAGCCATAGGGCATTCCGTCCGGGGTATAATTTTATCTTCCAAGTAACGTTGGACCTCCACTATGGCTCGTGACTGGGCTGTTCCTTCAGGTTGGATGTCCTGCATTTTCAAATCATAATCCTCCCAGATCGATTTTGTCGTCGAAGGTGTTGGCTGGTTGCATTCGGTTACTGGTGGTTGCTGAGTGACCTGTGTAGAATGGTAAGAGGCGACGAGCGATATCATGCGTTTCTTTGTTTCATCTGCCACGCGCTGATCTTCAAAATAAAATTTGAAGCGAGGGTCCAGGAACATGCAGTTTCCAAAAGTCTTACTGCGGTCTAGGTTAGCAAATCTTGACTTTAAATTGCCTATGAGGTCCTGTCGCAATGTATCTACCGTGGGCATAAGGATATTCGGTATCCGTTCCAGTGCTTTTGTGAGCCCCGTGGTGATTGGAATTACCAGGCTACCGGTAATGTATTTTTGACCACTCAACTCACGAGTGACCTCCTCGCAAGGCTGGAGAACCAAACACATTTCTTCACAAATCGTCCATTCATACGGGGTCAACGTTTCCATATTCAAATTGATCATGGCACTGTTCAGTGGCTCTCTTAATGAAACTATTCTTTTAAGCATATTAAAGGTCGAGTTCCACCTGCTTGGAACCTCCTGAATGAGCCGCTTCGGTGTCATGCCAGCCTGTTCCTGGTATTTCTTTAATTTTTCCCAGGCTACGTTGCTCTGCTTGAAGTGGCGAACGATTTGTTTTATTTTATTTAAAATGTCATTTAAATCGTCTCTTATTAGAGCATCTTTCACTGCCAGGTTCAAGGTATGGGTATAACACGAGAAGTTCTTCCAACCAAGTTCTCTTTCTAGAGCACATTTGATGTTGGCGCCACTATCGGATACCGCCAATAATATTTTATTTGTCACACCCCAATCGTCACACACTCCTTTTATAATCTTTGCTAAATATTTAGCAGTGTGGCTTTCCAAAAGTGGTACGCAATCAAATAATATAGATTTTAGCTCGAAACTATCTTCCTTGATGTAGTGGCCTGTCACTGCCATCATGGAGTCATTGTTGGTTGTGGACCAAATATCTACTGTTATGCATATGGACTCTACTTCTTGGCTTATTTGCTCCTTCATCTCCGTTTTAACCTTTTCGTAGATCGCAGGCAACATATTATTGGCAAAATATTTTCTCGAAGGTATAGTGTAGTTCGGAAATGCAAAGGAAATAAGTTCCCGAAACCCACGATCTTCTACCATTCGAAAGGGCTGATATTCCATGATAAAAAGATTCATAATTTTTCTATCGATATCGGCTTTTGCGGTATTTATTCGTCTTGGCATAAAATTAGAAATAGGCTGATGGCCATACGTTCTTCTTACCGTTGTCGTCGTTAACACGCTTGCCTGCTGCGCTTCCTGTTGTGAAGAACCTTGTGCTGGTGGCTGACCTGCCGCTGGTGGTACTAGCTGAGACGTCTCTGAAGTTAAATTCTGGCCAGTGGTATTAATTTGCCGGCTGGAGCTTGCTACGTTGTCACTTTCTGCACCTCGGCTCACTACTCTAACCGTAGAATGTTTCCTCTCAACATGCTTTTTTAAATTTGTCACAGATGATTTATAACACAGTTTTGTTTTGCATATATTACAAGTTGCATAAAAACCACCAATGTCTGTGAAATGGTCCCACACAATACTTTTTTTATTTACACTAGCCATTCTTATTTAGTCCTATGTCCTATCAAAACTATTGAATAATAAACACAACTAAACTATACATCTACAATACTATCACTAATATATTATTTACACTGTATTTAAAGGTATATACAATACTTTAGAAAACTTTTCCGCAGAAAAACAAACAAACCAAACTTTTAAATCTTCCGCAACGAAAAGTTTAAATCAGTAAAAAAACAACCGTTCAAATGTCAAAAATACGATTAATCATTATCAAGCAACTATGCTCTTTATTTGTACCGACATAAGTTTGACAATTACGCTTTAATCATAACTACCAATCAGGTCAAAGAAGTAAACTTTCTTGTCATTTGTTTAAAAAGCCTTTGCTGCTATCAGAATAAAGTCTAAAATCCCAAGTAATGCATTGATCGATGACAGCAGACGCCGTGTTCGGATACTTGTATAATAAAATTAAATATACTTGCTTTATCAATTTTCCATTTTTAAACCACGCATTATTGAATTTATTTTTGTATAAATATATTTAAAATGATCGTATTTGAATGAAAACAATCTATCATTCATAAAATAATTTAATAACTATTCAATTTTTTCCCGTGTGTTTGTTTCAATAACAAAAGTTTATGTGTAATGTATCCGAACGTATTCCTACGCCTAAATTATACAACAAATTTTAGGAGTCTATCTACTGTCATTATCATGGAGTAAAGAAATGTCAATACAAATTTCATGTATTATAAAATACTAGTCACCATCTCTTTTTACTGCCTTATAACCTGTATGAGAGAATGAGAGAGAAATAGACGAATAACATTAGTTGATACAACGAAGCAAAATTAAGGAGACACAAAGTTGGCTTATGACGCCTATGATTTAGGGTCAACTTTAATATCCTGATATTTAGAAGAAAGTACTAGGTGGCTCTCTTTTTGACTTCATAGGTAAGAATGAGAGGGGAACTGTTCTAGCTAGGATAACAGGAACACAGGGATAACAGCCGCAGACCAATAACAGGAGATAACAGCGGATTGTGCTGTTACGATATTTTACGCATAGTATTGCTCTCGCGTGTAGTATTTTCTACAACAGTTATTTTTGTTACGAATAACAGTTGTTATGTTCCGTAGGGAAATATTTGTTCTTTTTACCTGTTACGATAAATACGCCTCACCGCTATAAACAAAGTATGGAAAATAAGAAAAAATACTAGTTTAACTATTGATACCAGTTTCATATCATCATCATCATTGACATTGAAAAATGGTTCGAAGACTTCGGGAACCGAGCACTACAGACGATGAAATAGTAATAGGTAAATAAATCTTTATCCAAATTAAGTGTTTTTAAATAATATTAACAGTGAACCATTTTAGTTTTTGTACTATAAGATTATTCAGTCATTAACCTAATTTTCAGATACGTCGCCGCCAAAGAAACATAAGCGTCACAAACATAAAAAACACAAGAAACGTAAACTTGAGAATGATATTGACAGTGATACCTCTATCGATGTTTCATATGAAGATGCTTTGGAAAAATCGTTCAAAAGAGTTAAGGCAGACAGAGAAATGCCAGGCACCTCAGCAGCGGACCTATTAAAAGCACAAGCCATGAAATCCTCTTCAGATTCTCGAAGATCTATACCTGGATCCTCATCAAGCACGCCTCCAAAAGCATCCACAAAGAAAAAGAAAAAAGGGAGAGATAGTGGCACTTCAAGTGAAGAAGAAAGATGGTTGGATGCTATAAAATCAGGCAAATTAGAGGAGGTAAGTTGACAAATCGAAGAATATTATTTGTTTTGTTACTATAATAATAATGCATATGGGCAACTTCTAAATTAATAGAACTTTTGATCTGCTACTTTGTTGTCATGCTAATCTGTTTTTTTCTTATTTGTAAACTACCCTTATAAGTGCCTTCCGTGTTCATAAAGAAAATGAGGCTTTCATTTATAATATTGAGATCTGTTATTTGTTTCGTTAGTTAATAAATAATAATATTTATTAGACCACAACAAATCAAAATGTATTTTTATATAAATTTTTGTTACATCTAAGCTTATCATATACTTTACCTATTTAGTTAGCCTCTGCTGCTAAACTGAGTTAATACCCGTCTTTCAGCACACAGCACCTCAAAACATTAGAATTACTTAAGTAAGTTAAATATTTAAGCAGATAAGTTATATTTTACATTAAAGAAACACCATTATAATACACATCCTGAAAAGACTAGGTTGTAATTCTGTTTTGGTGCTTTCATCCTAAGGTCCAAGTGATTAATGTCTGTATTTATGTTATCTCCACCACTTTAATGTAAATGACAAAAAAGCCACTACAGCATTTAATTTTGTTTCCAAAGCTTCTATAATGCTAGCATTTGTGCAGAGGAATGCAAAGTTATTCCAAAAATTATAGGAAAGCAATAATATTATATAATGCCAGTTTTATATATGTTTTGAACCATTTACAGATTTCTTGTTCACATAAGAGATTGTCTTTATTTATAATTAATGTGTATGAAAATATAAGAAACCAATATTCAGCACAAACCGTTGTGTGTCAAAATTATTTGAGTGACACCAGTTTCATCAAAAATATTCTCATGCCTCGAAACTGCTCTAGTCTCATTAATGAAAATAATGCATGCATGTGAAACTGCTAGAGAAATTAATGCAATGAATCTAATTTTGTAATGTAAAGTTTGTTCAATTGATTTGCTAAAAAAGTTGCCACATCTATTTTACAACCTATGTCACATGGACAAAGTATGGTTGCTTGTTCATTAAATTTATTTCCTAAAGTAATTTAAGCATTTACGATAATTCTATAGTAAATTGATTTTAAAAGACACTGTCAACAAGGTTTGATCTATTTAAAATGCCTCTTTCAATAAAAATCACACTTTTGAAAAAAAATTGCCGTTATGGCAGGAATGACTCGATGTCGTATTTTTAATTTATTGTTTTTAAATGCAATCAAATTAACTATTTAATTAACTATAGGTTGATGAGGAACTGAAAAAAATTAAACCCAAAGACCCGAAAATGATGACAGCACGACAGAGGGCTATGTATGAAAGAGGAACTGATAAAGAAACTTGTTCTGGCACTGAAGTACTTTTAGCTCTTCCATCAGGGTACAAGGAAAAAGTCATGACCGCAGAAGCCATTCAAAAGGCTGCATTAAAGTCACAGAAAAGGAAACAATTAGCTGATGAAAAAAGGGAGAAAGACAAAAAGAAGACCATGGACAGACTTCTTAAGAAGCAGGAATCAAAGAATTTAAAAAATGCACAGAAAGGCAAACCAATCAGAAAATTAGAACCAATGATTGTATATAAAAATAATCATAAAGAAACATCTTTATCATTACCACCAGGTATTTCATTTCCTATAGAAGCTAAACCTCCAAGAGAAGCACCAAAGCCAGTAAAATGTGCTATAGAAAATTGTGAAAATCTTAAAAAATATAACTGTTCAAAAAGTGGTTTACCATTATGTAGTCTTGAATGTTATAGACAAAATTTAATAAATATACGAATTATATAAAATAATCTTTAAATTTTTTGCTACATACCTATACTACATCCTTGCATTATTCTCAGTAAAACTACTGTATAGTATTATTGGTCGCAAAACATCTCTAAAACATGTAGGTAATGAATGAAATATTATTTATTTTATAGATACTTTGCCTAAGTATTCTTATATACACACATATCCACATATGGCGCAGCATCCAAGGAAGAAACTCCAACTTTATTTAAGTAAGTTTTGTTCGGGGTCACCAGACAACCGCGTCATACGTTATCTGTGGTCGATAAAGTGCCCTGTAAACGATCAAACTGCTTGTCAAACTTTACGTGCTTGACAAACTTTTTGATTGTGTGCTGCTACGCTTGATGCGCTTGGCAAACAATCTACGTGTTTGACGTGTTTGATAAAAATTTAGATTGAAGTCGTGCTTGGCAAACAAGTTTGTACGTGAACGGTGGTGTTTGTCAAGCATGATGTCAGTCGTTGTGTTGCATCTTGGAAGACGGTAGGTACGCCAAATAAAAAAAAAATACAATGGAAAGTGATGATATTATTACGGATAAAGAATTTACCTTGCATTTCATATCTATTTATCGTGATATACTGAATCTATGGAAAGTAAAATCTAAAGATTATATGGACAAGAACATGAAAAGCATAGCATTAAAAAAAATACTAATTTACTAAAAATGTATCGCCGGAGCATTACGGATGAAAAGAAGAAAAAGATTAATATTCTACGTACATGTTTTAAGCGCGAAAATAACAAATTAAACCGAAACTAAACAAATTTGTTTGATCATTGGCTTGATTGTATGCGCTGTTAATTGATGAAAACGTAAAGTTTGACAAGCAAATTTGTCAAGCAAGTTTGATCGTTTACAGGGGGCTTAACAGCATTGTATAACATTTTTTATTTTTAACAAATTTTGGCAGAAGTTACCTTTACACTACCCATACCTCGTTTACATTACCGGTATGCGATTAGAACGTTATTACAAAACATGCAACACTAATCGTATCGCTATGGCGCTTTCAGACTAACGTAAGTTCAGCATCGAAACGGCTTCTTCCACTCTGTAACAGCCACCCTAAGGTGGATATTCGGAAACGCGTGTGTAAATCCGCATCATAAATTTACTTCCGATTTTCTCCCCCGCCTATATACCGTAATTTTAAAAAACGTATAAATCCAGCTCAAGATACTTGGTCCTGACATTAAAGAAAATGAAATGATTTTTTTTTTTATGAAAATATGATTTCTATAACTACACGATAGAAGCTTTTGTGTAGTAGACAATTTTATTCCACTGTAGTTGAGGTAAAAAAAACGGAAGAACATTCCAAAAGTGACTTCCATCTATCCAGTGTTCAGGGTGGATAGATGAACATGTGTTTCCGAGTATCCACCTTAGGGTGGCTGTTTCAGGGTGGATAAACGGAATACGCCAGCGACACAAAGGCTCCGCTTTTCTCCTGAAAACTGCTATTTATCTCTATTTCGTAACGGACTGATAAATAAGGGACTAACGGCCGATTTCTAAATTGAGAAAAATACAAAAAAACTTTACCATTCAAGTGGCAAACAGTCCTAGTTTTATCAAACTGCTATCAAGTGATCAAAAAATTAAAATGAAAAACATAAATCTGTTTAAATGACGTTAAGATGGTTTTAGTACGGTTTGAGACGTGCTTAACTTTAAATTCTCAATTCAGAAACCGGGTGTTGGTAGATGGATTCAGAAATCATTTAAATCATAGAGGGTAGCCCTGCTGCCAGCCTGTCACAAACCAAACTTTTGGTTAACGTTAATAATACTACTCTGCGCAAACGAAGATGCAGATGCGTATGACCTCGATCTCCTCCATTTTGGGTACATATGGTTATTAAGCCATTCCAAGTCTTAGTGACTTACATACCACATCCATAAATTTCTTCCTTCTGTAGGCTGGGATTTCTGACCTCAGATACCAAACAGTTTGAAGAGCACTAGTAATTAATTATAAAAACAAAACAACACCAGACAGCTAATCCGTGAGCATATATATTATAAGATTAACAATTAGATACATTTTATAACTCTTAATATTAAACACTTAGATGAAGAAACGGGACAAACTTTAATTTTAAATCTTGTATATTTTTCAATGGTAGAAAAAGGTGTCAGCTAAGTCTATGTGGATAAATAGTGAAAAACCTCATAAATAACAATATCTGTAGTGACCAATAAATTTATTATTAAGAAATCATTTATTAAATATATTAAGCCTCCAGATTTTGTTATTTTTTATCACTATAAACCTAGAATTGTTGATTTGAACCATAAAAATATCAGACTAGACACAAAATTATCTGACGTGTAAACCATTTAAAATGGCATTTAGTAATTCTAATTCAATATTATTAATTTAGGATAATATAGGATAAGCATCTTAAGCAAACCCTGCATTAACAAGCTACATTTATTGTACTAACATTGCAAGTTTTTTATTTTACCTGTATAAAGCATAAGTTTCTATTATATAAAAAATATATAGAATGTCTAATAAAATAACTAATACTTCACTAGACATTGAATCCAAATAAAATATAAAGATATTTTTAACAACATCAATTTGGCAATTTACTTGAGCTATGTTGAGAACTAATTTTAAACAAATATTAGACTACATTAAAGTACAGGAAAAAGTATACCTTTTACATTTTTCTTACTACTACAATCAATACATACATTATTTTATATTACCTTGTAATATAATTAATGATTCTATGAAACTTTATTAAAAAAAATTTATTGTAGTTTTATTTTATTTTTCACATCTAATGTCATGGTATAACAACTATTTAACAATAACTCTTGAAATAGTTCTAGTTGAATGGAGCCTTCAAATTATCAGATTGGGTTATTAATGATACATTTTTACACCTGCCAATTGGATCAACTATAAACTATTTTGTGACAAACATCCACTAAACACAAAATGGATATGTAAACACAGAATAGTAGTCCATCATACTGATCCACCAGCCACCAGCCATCTGACACAATGATAATATACTTCCCACCTTAGAAACCTTCACATATCAAAGAGAGCTCACAAAAAGAGAGACCCATATAGAAAGGGCATAGACACAGCTCAATGACTTCTACAAACCAAAGCATGGCAACCAACAGCATGGCATTATAAAGCCGGCTTGGTATCAGACATTTGTCCTTTTAGAGCTTCTAAGGCGTGCCAAGCCAGACTGTAACCGCTAAGACTGATTATTCTGCTTATTTGATCTGAGGCGTGCCAAACCCGACCGTTCTTCTTCCTCATCACTGGTACAAGAAAGCCCTCCTACTGCACCACGGGATGATGTCGCTTGTATTAGATCTTGGTCTGGACCATTTCTACTTTCATATAGTAGAATACCAAGAGTTTCTTCATAAATTCTTGCTTCTGGAAACTCCACTTTTGTATGCTTCTTATCTGTGGCATATACAATAGATGTGCAACAGACTTCTGCACATTTTTTTCCATGTCCAAAGAATGACCAACAGCATATCTCATTAGACCCAATAACATCTTTTATGAACAGAACCCTGCCACTGAATCTTAATGATAATTTATCAAAAAGTTCAATATTCTTGAGTAAATTATCATCTGATGTGCTGGTATAAGAATATTTATTGTTGTGTCTGTTTATGAGTAGTTTTACCACAGGCTGAAAATAAAATTGAGATATTAGCAACTTGAATCCATATTAATATGCAATACAAATGCATAAAATATTGTTTCCTACCTTTGATGTTGACATAATAAGCAACTGCTCTTCTTTATGTGAAGTTATCAAAGGGACCCTACATATTGGTTCTGCCTCTCGCTCTTTCTTTGCTAGTGCCTGTTGACAAGATTCTGTCAGTTCTTCAATTAGAAAATATTTTGCCTCAGCTAATAACTCCATGACTTCGCGATAACTATCTGGCAATGCAACTGTACCATCTCTGAGGTAGTTAAGAATAGTTCCAAAATGTTTTCCACACCGGTCAATGAGTATCCAACCTGAAATTTAAGGTTTAATTAATTAAATAATAATTTACAACATTTAACAAAATGTAAGGCTTTAACAAACTTTTACAGAAAAGCCAAATAAATTTACCATGCATACCTTCAGAATCTGTGAGCACTTCCATCCTGCCGCTGAACATTGTCCTTAACATATTGTCACTTTTCGTTAGAGTTCCGATCGTAGTATAAAATAAAGTACCGCCTACATTCAGTTTAACATACTGCGATGGACTTCCTTTTATCAGTGTTTTGTGGTCGCCCGACATTTTAAATAGCGACAACCCGTGCGGGTCTCTGTACGTAACTAGGAAACTAAGAAAGAAGTTTAAAAATACTCAAAGGGCAGAAGCACCAACACAATATTCATCAAACATATCACGTATTATTCTAAATTATCCTGTTTTTTAACAATTTATTTTATCGCTATCACATCAGAAACCGAACCATTTTTTTTTTATAAAACTAACAAAGAGTAAAGTATACATTAAGCTGCGGCAAAATTATCGATATGTTTCATATAATAATCGGTTATACGAGTATGTATTAAAACTACAATAATATCCTTATTTTCTATTTAGAGCTAATATTGAACATTTAATCGAAAATCATTCACTGCCAATGAACGTTGAATAGCCAACGACTTTTTGTATTATAACGTGAACATTTTTCACTTTTATGTATAGTGAGTGTTTCACATTGTCGCAGCAACATGTCGTGCGTATTTGAATTTCTTTAACCATGGATAGGTCAATCAAAAAAAAAGCTACCCACAAATAAAAATCAAATAAATAAAGACAAATATGTGCTCTAATGACGCTAATAACTAGCAGTGTAATTAATAAACAAGTTTTAGTGTTGGAACACATTTACGCTGAGACAGCACTTAGTATAAAAAAAAAATCATATTATTAGACAGAGATTTACACAAAGAATAACCTACGCGTTTCTGCGGGAGTAATGTTTACTCCTAGAAGGTAGAAGATTTACTTATTTTCTGTATAATATAAATTTGGACTAATGCTAAAATTGTAATTTAGCGTAAAACTCTGACGCTAAACCTTGTTTATTAATAGCACTGTAGTAGATTAATACACGCTCTGACGCTCGTGTATTATTCATTAGGATGACCAAAGAATTTAAAAATAAAGTATTTTCTAAATTTCTTGGAATGAACGATGAATGACTGATTCAATAACCTGGATTCTGGTGAAATTCACAAGGCCAACGTCATTAATTGAAAAGATGAAGAACCTTAATAATAAAAATAGTAACGGCTCTTAGATTTGAGAGAATGTTCTTAATAAAAACTGCTTAAATATCCACTTTGTCCCTTGTTATGGGATATGAACCCATGACTAATGACAGACGAATTATTCAAAAAAGCAACAAGCGAAAATGTAAGAATTCACCAGTCCTGCTAGGTCCTGTGGTTAGAGCATTCGCCCGGATTGCGAAACATCGTAGGTACTAATGCCATTTCAGAACACCACGCAAAGTTTATTTTTTAAGCAGATTGTCTGAACATTGATGAAAATAAGCTCTGTAGTAGCAAAAAAGTAGCAAGTGCTTGAAAAATTCGTCAGTCCTGTTTGGTGCTGAGTAGCTCAATGGTTAAAGCAGTTGCCCGGATTTCGAAAGGTCGTGGATTCAAATCCCATCTCAGAGTACCAGTCATAAAGTGGGTTTTTCATTAAGAATATAATAACATCTTTTTGATTTGGCTGTTTCCCGTATTTATTGTTAAGCCCGCGCCAGAAATATGTTCAAATACGCAAATATATATTAAGACGCGGCACAGGCATTTGCGATTGATTGCAAATATTGTATGCCCTTTTTGTAGTTTAAAAACAAAGTGATCAAACTTCAAATTTGATGTTGGCAGGATATCTAAATTGTATTGTTGCAATGATTGCAAAATTTCCGTGTATAACGGAACAAGTCCATATTGAACAAAAAAAAAAGCAGATTCATTTCATTTTCATTTTACATTAATTTAACTAAATTGATTTATATAATTAACTAATTTACTTTAATTTAACTAATTTGATCAGTTGACATTACATATAAAATATTACATCAAGTTTGGCAGGCCACAAAAACTATACAAATGAGTACTCAAACTTTGCATTTTCAAATGCCCATACACACACACACCATCACCACTTGCCATCATTTGCGCATTGAAGCACATATCTGGAATGGATGGAGCAGCATATATTATTTTATAAAATTCATATTTATACATAGTTATAACATCTATGGATATAGCAAACTAGCTTTCCGCCTGCGGCTACGCCCGCGTGGTCCGCTGGTACCTTACTCGTAGATCTAAACTTGGGAGTCCCGCACGTGCACCCCCGTCTTGGTGACACCCACTTCGCAACGGGCCGTGCAGAAGAAATCGTAATATTTTAATTTCGCCATAACTTCAAAACCAAACGTCCAACTTTAATCTTTCAAAGACCAAATATTATCTACATAAACTGTACTTAGTGATGACATAATTTATTTTGATAAGGATTAATAGCATGAGTAAAATAAACGCGTTTAAATGTAGTCCAAAAAAATCAAGATTTCTAAATAAAAAAATGGTTGTTGTGCCACACTCGACATAGATAGGTATAGTGTGTCACTGATTTTTTGTAGATATTTATAAGATCTACAATTAATTACAACATTTTATGGTTCTATCTTTTATAGTTTAGGCAGCGTACGCAAAATAAGTAACTTTTCTGGTTGATTTTTACAACTTGTGTCCCGAAATATAGCCTAGGTTATTCGTGGATAATGTAGCTTTCGAATGGTAAAAGAATTTTCAAAATCGGTCGAGAAGTTTTTGAGCCTATTCATTACAAACAAACAAAGTTTTACTCTTTATAGGTATATTAGTATAGACAAAAAAATCTATGGATATACTAAGCTACCCATAACTAGTTACTCTATGGTTAAATTACTTTTTTAAACAGGGTTGTCAGTAATTAAAGTTCTTGGTTTTAAGGTATTGATCGAAGTTTTAAGGTAATAAATAAGAAAATAATACTAACATTTTTAATTAAACTTTTGCCTTATCTCTGGTTACATCCAAACAATTTCCAAAAATAAATCAAAATTACCAAAATACTCTTTATCTTATTATATTTGATCAATTTCGCATTCACAATACTATACCGAAAAATATTCTTATGTAATATTAGTCCCATCACAGACTGCCGGGGATAAAATTGATTTTTCAAGTATTTTTCAGAAAGAATACTCTTCATCTTAATTCATGTATTTATTATCTTTCCATTTTCAAAGATTTCAGTTTCAACGAAATATAATTTCTATTTTTTCCAATCTCTCGAACATCTGTTATAGTTTCTGGTAACTTAACATTTAATGTTTCAGGTAAAAACAATGCTGCAAGCATTCCAAAAAAGGAAGTTATCGTCAAAACCATTCCTGGAATTCGAGAGTCAAATCTACGACCCTAAAATGTATAATAATCTATATTAATAAGTTTTAACTATGTTTGTATATGGAAACAAAAAAATCGGTGGTCGCTGGAGTATTCACAATATAAACTATTGGTTTTCATTTTTGGTTGGTTTTGATTTACCAAAAATATTTGACAGCCATGATAAGTACTCACTGTATACATCAAATATGGAGCGATTGCACATGCTGCGCTGGAAAATAGATTGCCAATTGCCATACCAGATTGACGAAGACTGGTTGGATATAATTCCATGTTCAGTAAATAAATTATATAATATGAAACAGTAACTGAAAATCGATTTACTATAATAAGCGTTGTTCCTAGCCACCAATTTTGAACCCAACCATTATTATCTGTAATGTAAAATAAAACAATGTTTATGAAAAAAGTAACACCTATAATCAGTATAAAATTAAATCATTGAAACTTACCAAGTTCTCTGAAAAATATAATCATCCATATAGCTGCACTTAATAAATAAGATGCAGCTCCTGTGTATCTCCGGCCTATATGATTTGCAAGCCATGCACCCAAAAAAGTAGCTGGGACTTCTACAATAGACTGCCATGCAAATTCAAGAAATGGATTTCCATCTTCTTTGTCTCCGGAACTCAATAAAAGAACCATGTAGCTTAAACTTACTGAAAACCTAATATATATTTTTAATTACAACATAAGGTTTGATAATTTATTCTCTTATCAAAGCTATAATATTACACAAATTAGTATATTTAAATCTATCAAATAATTTGTTTTGTTTTGGTTTCAAACTTATTTGATTTAAAGAAACAGCTTAATACTGATGGGAAGAGAAGTGACATATTCTGAATGTCCACCCAGGCCAATCGGAGTATGAACTTCTAGTCAAATAGTGCATTTCTGTATGTTTACCAAAATTTATGACGCCATGATCAAGAGTATAATGTAGTTCCAAGTGCGCCATCACCCACAGTTCACCATGTAATGTGACGTCACAACTCTATAAGTTTGTGGTCACGATGGGCCCCCATAACAGTAGATCCATCTTTACTTGTGATGGGTGACATTTTTAATAAATTTTGTTCTTATTCGTCTTCTAGACAAATTTAAGGCGAATCTCTATGTTAATGCGTTATATTTCCATTTGAATTCCTTCCATCTCAATCAAAAGACTTACCAAATATAAAGTTGTAAGACGGTATTCATTACAAGATTCCTGCTTGAAAATAAAGACAAAGGTCCAAGTACTTGATTTTCGTTTAATGTTGTTGAATTTAAAATTTCTCTTTCAGTTTCTTTTTCAAGTGTAGTGTTGTTAATTCGGGCGATTTTTTGTAACTCTTTAACACACATTTCTTTTTTGTTTTTATTTAAAAGCCATCTTGGAGATTCAATTATTTTGCTGTAATAATATGTCCTTTTATTTATTTAATTAAAACTTATTATGATTGCTTAATAAAATTCAATAAGTATATATTTTAAATACCTACCAGGAATAAAATAAAAATGGCAGCTGAGTGACAGTAGTAATAATCATGAATGGCTTCCAATCTCTTAACCCCCAATATAAGAAAGGCATTATGAACATGCCAGTACTGTAGGCGATTGCACGATATGTCGCAGTTAAAGATCGACGTTCTGGTGCTGATATTTCCATTGATATAACAGTAGCACACTGCACTAGCACAATCGACAGCTGCACAGCAGACCACGATGGAAACCAAGCAATAACGCAGCCAATGATGAATAATATAAATGAATGACTAGTGACTATGGATATTATACGGCCTATGATAAGTAGTCCTAATGAAACAATAAAAGTTAAACGGCGGCCATATCTAAAAATTTGTAAATATTCTATATATGCGTTTATATACCATAATATTGAAACTAGTGTCATTTGATTTTGAAATACGAGTGTAGACAATAAACGAAAATAAATAGTTGTTTTTTTTCTCGTAGTATTTAATATACTATTACCGACAATCACACTACCATGCTTATTTTAGTTATAATTTTATTTAAATAAATTATGAAAATGACACTTATTTTAAACTCGTTGTCACGTGACTGCAATCAACGCGTAACGTCACAGTCCTCTAAGGAAGATGTCGAATTTGACCATGACGTCGACACGTAAAACAGATGTTTGTTATTGTTGTTTATGTTAGTTCCAGAGGGCTGTGACGTCACATCGATGCCATGACAGAGGTTAGCGTTTTAGCGGGAAATTTGGATCATTAATTTTATTTTAATATATGGGAGATATATTTTAAAAATAATTTTTTAAATACATTTCGAGTATATCTATTAAATGAAAATATTTAAAATATAGTCTACACTCGTATTACATTATGCTACGCACATATCACCAAACCACCCAAAAAATATAGATCCTAGAACTTCTCCTATTTTGCTATATGCAAAAATACTTGCTACTTTTATCTCTTCATCACACACCCAATTATTCGAAGATGGAACGGTAGACGAATACCATGTTTGATTATAAGAATATTCATCACAACCTGAAAAAAATATCATTATAATATATGTACACGGTTTACAACAAAAAAGAACTACTTAAAATATTGTTCCTACGCGTTCAAGCTTCATCAGACAATATATTGGTACCTACGTGTATTTAATATACCTTTTGTAATATTTGTGTTATTGGAAGTAGTATATATTAAACAGCTGCTGTACACAAGTTTACCAGAAGAATCGTTGGTGCTAAAAATTATATTTTTATTAGTAGTTAACCAAAACATGTATACATTTGAACAAATTAAAATGTTTGTTAGTATTTACTTACGTGGGAATAAATTTAGACATCCAAAAGGAGTTATTATTACTCCTGTCAATTTGTGGTATTTCACATGTGTGTGGTATAATCACAAGTGCCAATATTATATTGTTATATGCCATTGCCCACAAGGACGCAAACACTAAATTGTAAATTATATCAAATCGCCTCTGAAATTTACCATTGGGTCCAATTTCAAAAAGGGCACGCTCGTAAACAGAATTCATGGTTTTATTTTTAATCGGTAACGATCGTCTAACATTATATATATACTCAAAACATTTTAAAAAGCATTGAAGTTATGAGGAGAAGTACATTATGCATGTGTTACAAATTAACGTAAAGTTATTATCTTATTAATATTTAAACTATGTGTGTATATTTACCATCTTATCATAGTTCTTTATTTGTAACTTCATTAGTAAGGTTCTTATGATAAGCAATGTTTGGTCATATTGATACGAAGTTAAATTACTTTTTTTCTTTAGTTGTTTAACCTATATGAAATCTCGTTTTAATGTATTCTTAAGTTAGATAAGACGAAAATAATTTTGACATCGAGTTATGAAGTCGCTCGTAGAAAGAAGAAACAAATATTAATTAAAATATATATGTATGTAGGTTTGCATACATATATAAGAAGAAGGTGCAAAGATGGAATGCTTTATTTACTTTTTTCGGCTCTCAAATTAAGGAGTACGGAACTACCTTCCCAACGGGGGAAGGAGGCGGTGAATCCTTCATTGGATACCAGATACACAGCTGGCTATGAGGTTATGTCAGACGCCTACTGACTAAATACCGCCTTGGACGATTGGATGCGTGCTCTGAAGAGGCAACGAACCTTCGATCGGAACTATAAGCACAAACGTAACCACTAATAAATGCACATTATAAACCAATTAGATAAAAGGTAAAATATTTATAGTGGAAGGGGAAAGAACTAAGAGAGAGTGAAAGAGAGCGAGGGATCGTGTGATGTGATGTGTAAAGTGGCGTTGAAATAAAAAGATCCCTTGTGCCAGGCGTCAAGTGAGCGTGCAGGTGTCTGCGTTGCTTAAGATTCACATATGACGCTCGGCTATTGACATGTACATGTCGTGTTGCTTTCTCCTTTCTTTCATATGGACAGTGAAGTTAAAATTTATTTTTATATATAATAAACTCTTAAAAGAACTATTTTTTAAGAGATTATTTTATTTATATACAAATAAAATTTACTATTACTGATGTAGTCTTATTACTATGCACTCCAAAAGCACATCAACGACCTTCAGCATCCCAACGCAGCAATCACCCTTCACCATCAATCTCTCATCAGGTCAAGTACTCCAGCAGCACAGTGGCAAGCCAGCCAAACCTAAGGTCCATCACAGCCACATCGAAAATTCTTCTTGGATCCATGGCCCCATCCGACGACATCATCTCGACCTGGCCCTTGTAGCCTACGACTGGTGCCTCAGTTCAAAGACGCAACCACACGGTTGGACGTCGGAACCGAAGCTGCTTACAGCGTAGTAAGCAGCTTCGGTTCCGACGTCCAACCCTGACACATGCAGGCTCTAAAGCACTGATTGCATACTATGAATAAGCATCGACCCACGGTCTGACCAATTTGCATAAATAGAACGTCCAACCTATTTCGGTTGGACCGTGGTTCCCGGGCTAACAACACCTAACTTGGAGGGAGACATTATATATGTCGACTAATTTTTGTTTGTTTGTGCGTCAGGTAGATAAAATTAAACACGTTTTTTATTTTTTTCGTAATCATTAAAGTACGACGATACATTGAGTAAAAATATCAAATGAGGTCAAGCTTTTGTACAAAACTGTGACATAGCGAGCCCCTACTCCTCGCGCCTATATTTAAATTTTTAATGTGCCTAATATTTTTCTGTTATCTGTCTGTCGGACTGAACAGATTTTCTTTTTTTTTACCCTATCGTCATCCTTATTACCCTTTAGTCTCCCTTGCCAGTTGTGTCTGTAGGAACCGTAAGGCTGAAGGTTGGGTCCCTACTGGATGATGGAGACAACTGGCCAAGGAAACTAAAGGATAATTGTCTCCCTCCGAGCTAGGTGTTGTTAGCCCGGGGACCGCGGTCCAACCGATGTAGGTTGATGTCGCTGCATATCAGTCGCCACATGGCCATAAAAAATGGGTTAACTAATATTTGACAAAAAAACGAATGAAATAAACACGAAACAATGAAACTTTTTAAAACTAGTCTTTTGTGAAACATATTTCTTTGACAAAATATAGATTTTACTAAGGTTCTAACATTTCAAATTTCATTTGACCCTTATTTCAAACAATGCTTCTCTTTTATCTACTTTTAATCTCATATACATTGAGATCTTTTTCTATTCTTACTATTCTAGACTTCTCGCTGAGGAATCTAGACGGTAAGCGACACAGCTGATACATTTCTTATTTATTTTTTTGTGCACGCTGTCCGTCTATGGAACTGTACCTGGAAATCTTCTTAACTTGGCGATTAATTTTGAAGTCTTTTTTGTCAGATTTTAAACCTATTCAAACTTTATTTTTATTTAATACGACTATCGTATTTCCCTTGCATTATTTAAGATATACCATATTGTACTTCGTATGTTTAATTGTTATTTAATAAAATTTATTAAATGTATGAGCCAGTATTGTACTGTCATTTAAAGTCATTGAGAGTTGAATGGATTAACGTTTAATATTGATTTTGCCAGATATTTTTTATTGCTCCATTGACTTTAAATATTATCGGCGGGAGAGAGGGTAGTGTACAATAAGCAATCTAACCTTCCGTGTCTACACGTTTACTGAATGCTTGGCAGAAAAAGTACGACGTGGTAGAAGCAGCGTCAACAACAAAAATATACTTCCACGAAGTCTAAAAATGCAGTTTGGGCGTCGAGGAAGTATATTTTTTGTAAAGCAAGGGAAATAGAACCCAGTCATCTTTTGTGCCAGGCATTCAATGGTCCCAGGGGCATGGCCCACTACTTACATAGATTTAAGTTACAAATAATCAGACTCTATATGCAGTCCAGGAGTAAAAGAAACTGTCCTTCACAAAATGCCCCAAATATCAACTGGCAAGAATGAACCTGGAAGTAAAAATAGAAAGAAACCTTATTTGTATTGATTGTATTATAAATCTTTTAAAGACTTTTACTTATACCTGATATATTTATGTTTTTTTTTTCTGAAACATAAATAGTACTTCCGAACATATGCATATTAAAGAAAATAAGCCTTTTTAAATTATTGGATTTTAAACATATTCTACATGTAATGTACATTATCCTATATATAGCCAGTGCCGTAATTATATCATCTGGGACCCGTGGCAAATTATTTTGCCCTATCAGTAAAAATAGTCACGTTGTACTAAGTTTATTTTTAATAAGTAAATTAAGTAGTTATCCAATTCTAATAATAATTTTATCTTGAAGAACATGAACAAAATATTTTAATATCAAACTTTTACAATCAACTTTATTTTGCCATCAAAAATAAAAATGACCAATTGTCAAAACAATCACACAAAGAATATGCGGTCAGTATGAGCACTGCTCGCCTCAGCCACAGCGCCACGAAATAATAAATAACTTTCTTGGTTAACAAAATAAGGGAATTTACCGATTGTCATTGTTCACTCGGGCTGTCAAAGTACCGCGACAAAAAAAATGTAGAAACCAATGCCTGTGACATTTGGTCAGCCCTGATTAATTTTGATGCAGGATATCTAAGGTACACTACGCTACTGCCATGAATGTGCTTAGTATCATGTGCTATAACTGGTCATGACAACTTTAACAGACACCTTTTTATCCAGGTGTCACTGACAGCCCTCTGTGCGAAAGATGCATGAAGAAAGAAGAAACAGCGGCTCGTGTCTTACTAGAATGCAACAAGTCAGGCAACCGAGCAACTACCGGGCAAAAAAAAACCCTAAATTCGTGGGGGGATAATGTAGAGTTTTGCCCTGTAATAAACAACATTGTTGTCACTCAGTCGCGCATTCGCCACTTCGCTCCGTTCTCCGCTGTCCGCACCGCGACTGTCTAGAAAGGTTCATACAAACTTAAGCCTTTGTATCAAGTAGTTCGAGCTGCACGTTGCACCACGGTCATCACCGCTTCCACGTCTGAGTACAGGCCCGAGTTCACTAACTCAAGTGACAACCAAAAATCGTAATTATCGAAAAAAGTGAGCGACTACAATGTGTCTAAATCACTTATTCGTATTTTATAACAATGGGTCGCAATTTTCAAATGTCAATATCGACGATCTCAGCTGAAATTCTTTTTGACATTTGATCTTGTATCGATAAACTATTATTTCGTATTATGTAAGCATTAGTGACCATGAAAGTGAACTTTAATGAGTCTTTTCATCTAAATAAAAAAATATATAGCAACTGGCTAGGGATTGGCCATTTACAAAAAAATAATTACAGAATATCAAAATCGCGTGATGACCGCTTGTCTACAAATCTCTGTGAACAATTTATTTCGGTTGTTCTCAAATTGCCAGAACTACAGAATAAAGGGGCAGTTTAGGACACAAAGGGACACTGTAGGAGGTTTGAGCTCCGACCACTTGACCTTGGTTCGTGCGTGATCTTGGTAGGTACGTAGAGGCGTGTGCATCCACATTGATTCCTTGATCTTAGGTAAAACTAGTTCTAACCGGCTGTTTTACTTTTTTTTGTCTCTTCAATATGGAAAATATTGGAGATATTAAAAAACTAACAAATATTTTTACAGTCTATGGAGTGTGAAATTTATTTTTAATGAAATTTAGTCGTGACTACATATAAAAGGAAAGTGCATTTGAGAGTGTTTAATTTCTAAAATTTTCTGCTTTAAGAGTTTTACAATTTCAAATTAATATCGAAAAATGGGTAAGCCTCTAAAAGCCTTGAGAATTTATTAGGAAAATATTTTTCGGGCCGGTAGCCAAACATAATTGGCCGTCACTTTCGTTTAGAAAATAATAATATTATTTAAATAACACTGATATTATAGGACATGAGATAGATGTTTTAAAATAATTTCAAAGTTTAGTTATTATTGATTTTGAAATAGATCCTTTCGTGATATTTCAAATTCCGTAGTGAGGAAGTATTGAGGAGTTATTACTAACATATTAATAAACTGAAATTTGAAAAGTTCGAAACTTAGATATCAATATAAATACGAAAAAGTACAAATAGAATGTGAGTTATTTATTGAATTTTGAAAACTAATTTACTTTTAAACGTGAAAGAAAACTGGAAGGTTTGTCATGGAGAAATCAAGAATGTACCGTAGCGACATCTTATTTGATCTCGGCACTAATGTTTTTTTTAAATACTTTCTCATTGTGCGTAATTCGTTTATATGGCAACACTTCAGTACTGTACGCTTCAACCAAGGGCTTCATAGGTCATGTCCGAGTTTGTCCAACAGGCCTCCATATTGTTGGCAAACCATCAAGGTCACCTTGGTCGGGGCTCGGATTTCCTGCAGCGTGAACTTCTTTTAAGTGTAACAATACTTTTGTTGTTGTAAATTAATGAGATGTTATCCAATATATCGGGGAATTGTGTTGCTCGCGTCCGTAGGATTCCCACCTTACCTAGGTCCACCCTACACGTATCCCCTGGGTGGTGCTAAAAGAGCAACAACGGCGAACAACGGGCGGCAGTTAAGTAACCTGACACGGCTACCACGAGCCTTGAGGCACTAAATACCCTCAGAAGTAGTGGCGGTAATACCTTGGGAGAGTATTATTGAAATATACCCGACTCTTCGTAATTATGGAAATGTCAGATTTAGAATGCGATTTGTCGTGCGATCCGGCTAACCCCCGGCGCCCACTGGTACCCGGGCCAGTGGGTGTGAAATATGCTACCGAAGTCTCTACAGGGGTAGGTGACCAGGCTCCTGTGACAGATAATGCTACTGGAAAACATAAATTGATACAAGAAGCCTTTCATCCATCTTTATTTATTAATAGACCTAGAAGTTCATCTGTGAGCAACAAAACAGACCTAGAACCCACTGCCCAAAATAGTACATTTGCTGAAATACTTTTTAGCCCCAGAAAAGTACATCCACCATACTGGCAGAGAGTGCCAATCAACCGAAATAAAAAACGTAAGAAAGTCTCAGAATCCCCATCTCCCAAAAAGATAGAAATCAATAATAGATACAGCGCACTACCTATAGACCAAAAAGAAAACTCGGAAAAGAAACCAACTAAACCACCACCCATTATCTTGTATGGTATTGATGACGTGAACAAACTCTCGGAATTACAGGGAACCGTAGCTAAATACAAATTTAAGGTTATAAATATAAATAAAAATAAACGAACGAAGTAGTTCGGACTATTGACATCAATGAAGCAACAGAGGGATCTAAGACCTACGCGAGAATCTGTGCAGCAAACTCTAATCAAGCAAACCCTTTACTTGTTAACAACAAACCACGAACACTGTAACTAGAAGATATACTGATAAGGCAAACTGAAAAATTCGAGATGATCTTACAACAAATGAATTCCGTGGTGGGACTTTAAGTTAAACTCGTTGAACGGCTACGCAAAAAATGACTACGCTCAGAGTGGCTACTTGGAACATAAATGGTTTATCACCCAACAAAAAAGAAGTCGAACTTGTCCTATCTTATCACAAAATCGATATTCTTCTAGTATCAGAAGCACATGGTACCTGTCGCACATACATCAAATTTAATGAATACTATTGTTATACAACAGATCATACTGAACAACAATCGCTATGGAAGATAACACAGGGCACATTAACTTTTCAGCAGTGTACTGTCAACCTAAACCCAAAATTTGTGAGATCATGTTTACTGACTACTTTAAAAAACTTGGAAATCGTTTTGTGGCGTGAAGTGATTGGAATGCAAAGCATGTGTACTGGGGACCTCGAGTCACAACTTCAAGAGGCAGAAAACTAAAAACAAGTATAGATACGAATAACCTCTTGATATCATCCACCTATGAACCTACTTATTGGCCAACAGATCTCCAGACCTACTTGATTTCTTTATACTGAAACGGCTTCCAAGACACTATTTCAAAGCTGAGTCTTGCTTTGATGGCTCTTCCGACCACACTCCTGTCATTTTAACTATAAGTACGTTATTAATTGAAACTGGCACTTTGAAAAACTCACAAATAAATGTACGGATTGAAACTTACTCAGGGAGTATATTGACTGCAATATTCGGCTCCAAGTACCGCTAAAATCTCCAGAAAACTTTGATGATGCAACAAACTACATAACCCAGCTGATCCAAAAAGCCTGCTGGCTCCACACTCCAGTGCTCAATCCATCTAACAATCTGATGAATTTCCCATTAGCCACCAAAAAATCATTAAATAACAAACGCAAATTACGAAAATTTTGGCATCAAAGCAGGCTATCTTTGAACAAAAAATTATTTAGCAAAGCATCAAAAGACTTAAAACAACTGAATAAATAAAACACTGAAAGAACAACTTGAGTCGTTATCTGCTTCAGTGTCAACCAATTATTCGCTGTGGAAATTTACATTGCATATGAACCGGCCTCAAAATACAAAGTCTCCACTTAAAACTGTAACAGACTGGGCTCGAACTCCTCAGGAAAAGGTAAATACATTTGCTCAGCACCTAGTAAAAGTCTTTGCTCCCAATACTTCAACTAGGCCACACGGTGAGAAATCTATCGATGAAATCCTGCTACAAGAATTCCAAATGTCACTCCCTCCACGCCCTGTTACAGTTAGAGAGGTCAGGAGAGTGATCATAAATCTATAAGACAAAAAAGCACCCGGGTACGACCTACTTACCAAGAAAATGTTAACACAGCTACCAAAAAAGCCATTGTGTTTATTACTTCACTTTTTAATGGGATATTAAGAACGCAATACTTTCCGCTTGCATGGAAAGTGTCCCAAATCATAATGGTACACAAGATGGGTAAACCACCGTATGAAATATCCTCTTATAGGCCTATTAGTCTTCTTCCAGTACTATCAAAGGTGTTTGAAAAAATATTGTTATACCGCATACTGCCTATCTTAAACAAAGAGAAAATAATCCCCGATCACCAGTTTGGCTTCAGGCAGGAACATTCTACTACAGAACAGGTACGTAGAGTCTGCGAGAGGATTAAGAAAAGCCTGGAGGAGAAACAATACTGTAAAAATCCAAACCCGAATTCGTATTCACTCAGGTCTTCGAATTCACTTCAAAAAGCGGCATCCGCTCAATATTGAATGAGGAAGTATTAAAAAAAAATTAGTTCCCTAAATCAAACTAAATGCCGCTACGGTACTTTCTTGTTTTCTCCATGACAGCACTTCCTGTTTTCTTTTATGTATGAAAGTAAATTAATTTTCAAAACTCGAAAAATTTTTGAATATGTTAATTAAAAGGAACGAAAATGACTATATATATTTGGTCCATTCGTCTCTTGTAAAAATCAACTTTTGCTAGAGTCGCCATCTGGTGAGGAGCTTTTTAGTGCTTTCTTTTTTTAAATACTTATTCATTGGTAATTACGTTTCGTGGCATAAGTGAAGTGAGTTTCAAAATGACATATGAACAGAATATCGGAGACACATATAATCAATTAATTTTGATTCGTATTTTTATACAAAAAATGGTATCAATAGAATTTCTTTACTAAATGACGTGAATTCGGACACATGAGTGAATTCAAATTCGGGTTTGTTAAAAAAAATTGCGTTACATTACGTATGTAACTTAACATAGTGAAAGAGAGGTAAATGAAGGTAATCAATTGTATGTAAACAAAAGAGATAGAAGATATTTTGCTCGTTGCATAACTGTTTAATTGAAGGTGTGGGTCAAAAGGTCGAGTTCTTTCCAGATTCATGATTATATTGATACAGGTTATATACTTATTAACTTTAAATGATATACTTTTAATTTAGCTTTAAATATTGTTTTCAAGTAAATTATTTGAAGAATGCGATCTTGGTTATGGGGAAGATTGATAAAGTTCTTTATGGGAATTTTTATTTTATGCTGGCAACATTATATAAGGCGGTTGGTCGAGTGAAGATTGCTTGTTTGCCGCCTGCGCGATATTTATAGGTTTTTCGCGCTTAGTTTGCTTTAATATATGATTTAAGACAATTAACATTCCATTATGGGTGCATACTTATCTGAACCTGTGACTGAAAAAGTGTCAAACGATGAAAAAAATGATATACTAGAATGCGGTGCTAGCTCCATGCAGGGATGGCGTGTCAACCAAGAGGTAACGATTTCGTTTTAGCATAATTGAACACTTCTCTTTATGTTCAACACAAATGAAACGTTAATTTTACTGTCTTTTGTCAAATCGACACACCTATTCAATATTTCTAGGAAGCGCGCCATTATCATTGTGGATAGTGTATGCTCTGCATCTGTACAGTATTGTATTTAACCTATGTGTATACTGTATAGGTATCGTTTACTATTTTATTACTACACATGTGTTATCGTTGCAGTCACTTCCCGAACGCGTCATATATGCGACTTGTTAATAAAACACGGAACATTTACGTAATAAAAAGTTTAATATTATTGTTTCAGGATGCTCATAACACCATTTTGCAATTTGATGAAAACACATCCTTTTTCGCTGTATACGACGGTCATGGTGGGGCAGAAGTGGCGACGTACTGCTCTCAAAAACTTCCAGACTATATCAAAAATACTGATGCATATAAAAAGGGAGAGCTGATAAAAGCTTTAGAAGATGCATTTTTGGGATTTGATGCTACTATTGCTACCAAAGAAGTTATGGACATATTAAAAGAGCTTGCAGGTATGAATATACTTGATTAACATATAGTATTTTATACTGTATGACAATTTATAATTTTGTTGGCAGTTGGTATCAATTTTTTTTGTTAACATTTAAAGTTCTGTTGACTAATTATAATGTGAAAAACATGAAAAGTATGAAATGTCTGTGAAGGATTCACAGATGCAATAAACTAACGGATATCACTATGTATTACTAAACAAAGTGTATTATCTCATATCGTAACTTTGTGTAAAATCATCATAAATTATTCAATAGATTGTTATGAGATTTCCACCTACACACAAAGCACTTTATTTTATTGATGTTTTGTAGCTAGCTGAAGTATATTATAAAAAAATCATTCTAAGTACAAATTGTATCTGTATCCAAATAAGATGGGTCACTATCTTATTTATAAATGAGTATTTAATATGTTCTATATTTTGTATTTAGTGATTTTACAAAACTGTAAAATCAGCATATTTATGAAGGAAAAATTCAGTATCATCAACTGAATGTTTCCTTCATAAATATATGGATCAATATTAAAGCAAATGTAACATAATCTTACCAATCCATAGGTGAAATAAATCCTCCGGGACCAAGTGATAATGAAGAATCTGAAGATGAGAATGTCAGTAATTTGTACCAAGAGGCTCATCTCCCATTACAGGTAAACATAATTAATTAAAAATGGAAAGCTCAAAACTCAGAATAAGCTGAATATATTGACCTTATTTTTAGGTTGCAATGATTATCTATATTTTGGGTTGTGAATCTGAATCTGCCATGAATAACTTTTCCCACATAATTGTGTCAATTCTGTTGTAAACTAATTAAGAAATATGAACTTTAATTTGGGTTTTAAATTTATTTACTACTGATTCATAAGTTATCAAAGAAATAAAATAATACTCTTACTATAATATAATAAGCTTACTTTCTCTATCTTATTGTTGCAATAAGGATTACAACTGGGTAAAAAAAAAGAAATTCTATTTAGTCCATCAGTCAGATAATAGAAAGATAGATACATTATTTTTTACTTCAATTTAACAAGATATAGCTTAGATAAAATTGAAGTTAAAGTTGAGTGCTTGCTATGTCACAGTTTTGTAGAAAATGTACAAAAGTGTGACATTGTGTGATGTTTTAATTAAACATTTCACTTTCATTTAACAATTACGGAAAAAAGATGTGTTTAATATATTTCGACAATACCTGACAGACAAACAAACAAAAACTTGTCATCATCCCTATTGAATATGTAGATAAATCTAACAATCATAAACCATATTTATAAATAGAACCCAACTTTTTTAAATTCATGTTTGTAAAAGAGAACTTAAAATAAGCTATATTTCAATTTAGAATGCTTACTTTACTTATACAAAATGGTGGCTGTATTGCTTCTCAGGAGGACTAAGGACCACTTAGTTAGACTGAATCAATATATTTGGGTGAATTATTCAACAATACTACGACCTCTCCTCACTAAATATTAATCCAATGCACTTTCAATTTGCACTCGACATATATAACATACATAGAATTTATTAATTTAATTTTAAATTGAAAAATTCTCATGAAATGGTTATGAAGTATTATGCTTTGTTATTTACTAGCTCTAACCCGCGCCTTCGCCCACATAGTCCGAGGGTACTGTGTGCCCATTGGCCTGCTGTACTGGAGTCTTAAGCTAATCTTAATTAAAAATCTGCCAGCGAGCAGTGAGCCACCTTTATATCATCATTAGCATATTAAAATCCTCACTGCTGGGACATAGGCATGCCCAACAGATGGAACCAAATAAAAATAATCAAAAATAAGAAAAATAGATAATTTGTAGTTTATTTCAAGTATTTTTGGTTTTTAGTCATTCATAATAATTATCTGTAATTTAGTACATTTTTCCCAAACATAATTTAACACTTTTCAGTTATGTATTAAACTATCTCGTTAATAATCACTCATCAATTATTTTGTCGTCCGATGAATAACTATACTTTAAAATATATCTATACTAATATTATAAAGCTTAAGAGTTTGTTTGTTTGAACAATGAAAATCACGTTTGTTGTTTTAAAGGGAAATGTTCGAATTTTGTAGTTAAATACATTTGGTCGACTTTAACTCGTAAATCTGTTAAGCCAACTTAAGTGTGATATTTTTCCTGTTAAATATAAATATTTTTCGTTATATATAAATATTATTGCTGTACCGTTTGAGGTTCTAACAACAACATTTTTGTCAGTTGGGAGGAGGCCCCCCTCCTTTTACATTTTACTCTACCGATTTAATTGCCACTTTGAAGCTTAATAAGTTGTTGAAAACAATAACGAACGCTGAAAAAGAATAAAGACAACAAACTAATCAAAACACCGTTTTAAAAATACAGTAGCGAGCGTCATCTGGCGAAAATTGCTAATTGTAACATTTTACTTTTTCGCCCGATTAAAAATTGGGCATTAAATAATGTTATTGGAAATACCTCAAAATAGGTTTTTTGGTAATTTGAACATCTCCCAACATATAACATAAACTTATTAAGTATATTCATCACCAGATTTACTCTTTGAAAACTAATCTATAGATTTTACTCTTTGCTCATCTGTCGACTACAGCGGCTGCTTGAATATGTATTTTTAATTTGTTTCGTATGTTCATTCAATCTTAATACAGCTATAAATTGGATATTGATTATGCGGCGTTTGTATTCGGAATCATAGAAGTATACCGACAGCTTTACATCAATATTTTCCATTGCTACAATAAAAATTGGAAAAAGTACAAATATAACAAAACTCAAAATCCTGTTTTAAAAGTAAAGTAGCGTCATTTAGTGATCAGTAGCGTCAACTTAATGTAATATTTTCGTGTGACGTAACATATGCATTTAAGATTAACGACAAAGATTGTACCGATTTGAATTATTTTAAACATTATTTAATCCTGCGTAAACAGCTTAAATAATTTATTAACATAGATTTGTCCATACAATGAAATTTTTATACCAATGTAATTTCTAAAAGATTATAAGTAACTTGTTACTTTTTTATATGAAAAGAAAAGACCTGTATTGTTAAAATGTAAAAAAATACTCCTGTAAAAATCATTCATCAACAATTTGTTTGTCAGCTCTTTATCTATTTAATTTTTTTTATGCACATAAGAAACACGTTAACTTATAGAAACTTACTATACTAATATGTTATCAGTGTTCGAAAGGCAATTTTTTATCCTTTGATAAAACTCACACAGCTATCATCTCATAAAAGTTAAACGTCATAACGCAAATAAAAAGATAAGAACATGGTGTATTATATTATCATGAACTGACGCCCCCTGACAGGCGCCCGGGCAAATGTACACATTTTAAAAGTACAGTAACTTAAAAAAAAAAATTGTTCTTTGATCAACATGAGTCTATGTCTGGTATTCAAAAAACAACACGAACCACCAAGTTTCTTTTGTTTTTGACTATTTAATTGGTTTCCTCACATTAGTCTTTTTGTTGTTGTGATTTTTATGGGCATCGTTCCAGTTTTTTGCCTAGAGCGCCAAGTTTCATTGTGGAAATGGTATGAGACAAGGGAAATTCTCTCCCTCTGAGCTGAGTGTTGGTAGCACGGGACTGCGGTCCATCCAACACTTAGCTCGGAGAGAGAGATTTTCTTTTATCTCTTACCAGTTGCAACCACCAAGTAGGACTATAATCACCTGCCGGTCCTACAAGGCCAATAAATCTACCTGGTAGTGTTGCAATAAAGTTTGATAAATGTATATTCTAATAATATATTTTCTTCAATGTTATATAGGAAGTTTTGGCCAAGTATGAAAATAAGCTAAGCACACTGCACCGTGCCAGACTTGGAGATACAGCTACACCATTGTCGCCATGTTTACGTGCCAAAAAAAATGTCGATGAAGCAGGTGGATCAGGTACACTAAAACCCATTCTTTTATTTACTATTGTTAATTTAAAAAAATGATTATGTCAAGTCGTGTATTTTCTGTACAGCAACATATAAAAAATATTTTGTGTAATAGGGAATATGTGTATGATTCAAAAAAGGGTTTAATATATTTTATCACGAAAATTATTGTTTTAAAATAAATTCTATATCAAATATTTTTCAACATTATTTCGTTTTCATCTTGAAAGTAATTATTGAAAAGCGCAATAAAATTGCGATAACTTTAAAATGTTCAAACGCCATGTTACTTGTCGGATGTGATGAAAATGTACATGTATAGAGATGTCATTGTTTCATAAAGTTAACATCGATGCAATAATATCAACATATTGTGTCACAAAATAAACAACAGATTACAATTTAAATGATGTTTTAGGCTTTTAATTTTACTTCACTTATTTGGTAAACTATATGATTATTTGAAAAGTAATTTATACTTTAAAAATAAATTAGTTGTTAATCGATTTGGGTAATTGAATAATAATGAATCACTCACAATCCATATTGATTTTAAATTGTCACATCTCTAGTAGTGTACATTAATGTCAAGCGTCGACAAGCGCGCCAAAAATTCTAGCATTTAAACTGCTCTTTAACTTTTTTTCTCTTAGTTAAACATTTTCAAAAATTTGTACATATGTGTGTAAACAAACATATGTTTCCTCTTTATAATATATGTATAGATAGTGTTTGGATTTATACTTAGAAGAGTAACTGATTTATAGGTTCAGGTGCATCCAGTTCTAATGCAGGTTTGTCAGTAGCGGCAGGATCGAGTTCTGAACAGGCTGAAGGTGCGTCATCCACTGAAAATGGTGTTTCAGAAGAGAAAAACGCTGACGATGACATGGGTGGTGTATCATCTACAAACTCTAATGAAGAGGATAAGAACATCAATGGAGAGGTATTGCTTTTGTCAATATTGTTGATGTATTTGCTTTTAAATTAAACAATGATTGTGGAATATTTTGTATTTTGACAAACATCTGCATATTAGGTTGCCACAAAATTATCCTGGCGATTCGATCACGGCTTCCCAGGACTCATTTTACCATTACCAAAGGCCTTGTGTCCTGCTGTGGTCAACAGATGAAGAAAGCTTAAAATCGATTGGAGAAAGTCAATTTTATATAGTGTAATGTAAATTAATAGGAATTTCTTCATTTGTGTACAGTATAGAATTGGCAAATAAATGTGTAACTTCACCAGACCACTTTCATCTTTATGACTTACCATTATTCATTTCTGTTAATTTTTATACGTACAGGTATCTACAAGTGAGCCAGAAAATAAAGATCCTTTAAAAAATAGAGACAAATTAAACTCCACTGCACCTGATAGTTCAGAAGACAATTGCCACCAACCACCAGAGCAAAGTGCAGATGCTAAGAACACAGCCATTGGTAACGGTCCTGATGTTTGCAATGGGGAAGTTACAGATTCTAAACAGAGCGATAAAGAAGAAAATAATATCACATCCTCTAATGGTTCCACCACACCTGTTAAAGTGAAAGGGAAAGGTGAGTCCATTAACTACAATAGTACCTTAGAACATAAGCCCCTTCCAACTAATGTGCCCTCATTATCCAGTCATGCGACCTGCGTGTCGTCTGATATCGTACCTTATTATTAAGAGGACGGCCTCGTGATCAGTTATTAGCACTGGACTTACATTTCAGAGGTTGTTTCTTCCATTATATGGACAAAACATATTATATTTAAATTTAAACATATTATGTTTTATCCATATGTGTTACATGTCTCGAGCCAACATCCTTGAATCCTATCTTCTTTCTGATCCATTAATTTTGGTCATGTTATATGAGTCATGTAACTCAGAATTTCTCAGTTGACTTTCATGAAGGTCATGGCCCCAAATTATAGCATCCAAAGTAACTGAATGGTCCAAATACTCTAATAGGAGTAGTAGTATCTACTATAACTAAATGAATAACCGTCAAAGAATAAGGAAAAAAATATATAGAAAATTGAGGCCAGTTTTGAAAAAATGAATTTGAAAGCTCAATAAATTTGATTGGTCAAGAATTTATCTTCTCTTGACCTTACGTAAGTTTGTCATCAAATTTACTTAGACTTAGAATCACGATAAAAGACAGCATTCACTGTTTCTTCACGAGGTCTCATTTTTATCCTATTTTTTTTCTTATTTTAGACAAAGCATCACCAGTATCCAGTTCAGAAAAGGTGCCAGATAGACCAAAGAAAGCTAAATTACGGCGTGCAGCTGCCGCAGTCTACGAGACCTTGCTGCGTCAGGCGGCTGAAGAGGACGACGAGAGCGACTCCAACGACGAGACCTTCGAAGGAGGCGAGATCAACTCGTCTGACGAGGAGAACGTGAATGGCGTCGATGACTCTTCTAATGACGGTAAGAGTGTATGATCAGATTATAAAATGCAGATCTACAACATTTGAAAAAAAGGTTTTTTTCATTCTTAGCAATGCTGGTAAAACTGCTGGAAAAATTAGCCGAGAAACTCTTGGTACATGGTAGTTGGTACCAAGCCATATGAATAAGCAGACGTTCTCCAACTCTTTTTAGTTTACTGCTCTACTTGTCATCATAATGAGAGCATTACTTATCTGTCACTTTTGAACATTAAATTAGGCTATTGTATATTTATTTATTATGTACAACTGTGTAGGACACCATTTACTACCCATCTTTTTTATGTAACTGTCTAGTCTAACTTTTGGTTGCCTGGAAGATATTGCTTTTTAGCGATAAGGCCGCCGATTGTACTGTTTATTGTTATTAATTGTTATGTTGATTTTAATTTTCAAGTACAATAAAGTGTTCATTCATTCATTCATAATGAGAAAGTTTCATGATGTTTTTATTATTATATTTAACACGATACAATGAAAATATAGATCGCAAAGAAATAAATCAGAAAACAAAATTAAAATACGTATGGGTATATAACCAAGTTATAGATTATATAAAACTGCTTGTTTTCGCACGGAATGTCGGTGGCCTCCGACTCGCCTTGTGACGTCACAGCACCGAACTCGAGATCGTCGTACTACAAATTAAATAGAAGTCTTTGCAAATCACTTATTATTTGTACTAATCGGGTGTACTGGTGTTTTTTTTAGTTACTAATGGAGATTCAATTTTATTTTTTTATTTAAATGTAGTTTATTTTTATATTTCAAAAATGAAAATACTTTCTAACCGAAAGTAATATTTTTACCTATTGTCGGTTAGAAAGTATTTTCACTTTCTAACCGACTTTGCATCTTCGCGGTCATTTTCGGTACTATGACGTCACACGCTGAGGTATCGCGTTAAGCGAAATTGTTCTAGCGAGCACAAATTCAAAGTCTAATAACTTTTTTAATTATGTACATATAAAAAATTTTTTTACGGTATTTATGGTTAAGCTTATTCTTTCAATTTAAAGTAAATTTCTTCATAGGTAAATGCCCAACCACCTCTCTAATAATTTAAATATGTTTTTAAAATATGCATGCAATGAATCTTATTAAACTACAAATTTTATTTTAAACATCCAGGTGAAGCTGAAGAAGAAGAAGAGGAAGAAGAGTATGAGGCAGAATCTAGCGACGAAGATGGAGAGGAAGATATTTCATTATCTGAAGAACCTGGAAACGACAGTGGTTGCACAGCTGTAGTGGCACTTCTTAGAGGTGATGAAACTTCCGTATCAACTGTTACTGTACTTGTGGTGTAACCACACATTTTCAAAAACGTAAATAAATTTTGTTATAATTTCTTTACAGGCAATGAATTATATGTTGCTAATGCTGGTGATTCTCGGTGTATTATCTGCAGAGAAGGCAAAGCTATAGACATGTCAATAGACCACAAACCAGAAGATGCTCCAGAACTCGAGAGAATCACTAAAGCTGGTGGCAAAGTCTCCAATGATGGCCGAATTAATGGTGGTCTCAATTTATCACGTGCTATTGGTGACCACTCATATAAACTAAACAAAGATCTCGACGCCAAAGAGCAAATGATCACAGCGTTACCTGACGTGAAAACTTTAACGATTGACCCCACAAAAGATCAGTTTATGGTTTTAGCTTGTGACGGAATTTGGAATTTCATGTCTAGTCAAGATGTGTGCGATTTTATTTTACCCAGACTGGCAGAGGGCAGAGAAAGATTATCTCAAATTTGTGAAGAGGTTTGTATTGAATTTCTTTAAAGATAGCAATATTATTTTCTTATGTATCCTTTTAAATTAATTCTTTCTCTTTAAGTTACAAAATATGTGACTTCACTCTCCCTCATCATCACAGGCACAGGCTCAGGCCTTCCTTATGGATGGTTAAGGATGATAAACTATGACCATGACACTTCATTCTGGCCCAATGCGAGTTTGAGGGTATTAACGACTGCTAATACAGCTAAGACCAAACATGCCTTCCAAAGCGCAGAGTAGAGAGATAATTTTTTGTTTACCCATCCCGTGACCGACTCTTGCGAAAGTTGCTTAGCAACAGTTTAGTAGCTAATCCACTATGCCACCGAGCTACTCACTTCCTCGAATGGTTAATAATTCCTTGATGTCAAAATCGAATTAAAGACAAGGCATAGTAAATATATTAGCTTAGCTTACTAGTTATCAATTTTTTCAGATGTTTGATCACTGCTTAGCCCCAAGTACAATGGGCGATGGAACGGGTTGTGACAACATGACTGCCATCATAGTACGATTCAAAGATGGTGTCATCGCAGAAGCAGTTCATCATACGAACACTACTGACGGCGCTAAGAAACGAGCGGCAGAAGAAGAACCCAGCGTTGATGAACAACAAGACGTAAAGAGGCAAAAGGTTGACGACCCACTATCCAGTTCAGTGGTGACATCTAGTGTTTAGACATTATTTTTTTAGACTATAAGGACAAGCAGTGTTCAAACCACGCATAGTATTGTGAAACTTCTGGTGGAGACTGTTATTTCAATTACGAATAAGTGGGACATCACTTATATGTGGGGTTTATTGTGTTTAGTTTCGATACGAGGGATTATGTAAAACAATGTATTAGGTACCAATCCCGTTTTTCTCACATTCTGTCAGGGATGAGTATATTTCAAATATTTGCACTGTCACAGAATGGATTTTGTTTTTGTCAATATCTATGTTAGTCATTATGAAGATCTGTAAAACAACTCAATTATTAGATGAGTAGATGTTACAATAGCTAATAGAAATGCACATAGCTTCATGAGTCTAGAGATTTCAATAACATTAGATACAGATTAGCGAAGTCGTATTGTAATAATCATGCAAACCAAATAGTTAAACGTGTTATTATTTATCAATCTACTTGAAAGTTTTAAGCATCATGGTATGTAAATTGCAAGGTTTGAGGGAAATAAACTTTGTGTAAAAATGTTAGATTGACAATTTTGATATTGTTCTGGGTAACAATAAAGTAATAGTGCGTTTTAAACCGAGGCGAATTATTAACATCCATTGACAGCAGAACTGACTTGATAGCATATAGTTGTAAGCAAGTAAATGTTAGTTATGATCACCCTTTCGTGTCACAGACGACGAGATGTACTGCAGATGCTGTTCTTGATTGTCTGCGTCGACGATATTTACAAGATTGATTTCTAATTTATTTCCATTTTGTTCTTATTCAATGAAATTTAATGGATAATATTGGTAGCTAAAAAATGCGTTTTTCTTGAGAAGCATCATAATTATAGAATTGCTATTTATAGAAAAACATAATGGCACTTAATTTGAATAAAAAAAATATGTGCCATTTTTTAGTAAATGTTTATCAGGATTTTGCATCATCATCCCATCAGACTGAATAATTCAGATCTAAATCAAATTATTGTCTTTCATTTTTGCGATAAGAAAAAATATAATGGTTTTGGTTAAGTGTGACTTGATTAAGTATTTTGTATGACATATTTTTGATGCAACCCTTGAATATTCAAATGAACTTGATAATCTTTGTATTTATCACATGAATAAAAATGATTTCATTTTTAGTTAAATTTCTTCTTGTAAGGCCGATTGGCCTTAAAATGAGCTCGGCAGTGCCAAGTCGGAAGTAAGGAGCCAAGACCAACCAATTCTTATAAAGCACGGCTAGGGCTGAGCTCGATTAGTAGTTATAAAAGGAAGCAGGACTACTTTATAATATAATCATTTAAATGGTGACAGAAACACTGTTGCTAATTTAAGTCAAAAATTTACATTGGCAACATATAAAATAAAATTTACATACGAAAATCGTTTTCTTTATATAAACGGAATGAATCAAGGGAATATGTATATTTTAATTGTTTATCTGTGTTACTCTATAGTTATAAGTAGTTATATTTTTGTAATCGCAGGTAATATAAAAATAAAAATCCATATTGAATTATGTAATGTGTGTACATTTCCAAATTGAGAACAAGTTTCATTATTTAATTTCATGAATGAGTTGCAATTATTTAAGTAACCCCATAATATTGACAGTTTCATACTTTGAATTGTATTATCATTTCACGTGTGTTTCCATGATAAATACATTATTTGCAGACTGAATGTTTTATTATTATTTAGGCTTGAGCGATTATCATAACTAGCCTATTAAAATCCCCTACTGCAGGGGTCAAGCCTTCTCTATGGATGGAATCTAATATGGAGAATGAGACCCACTACGCGAACCCAGTGCTTAACGTCTGTATGTCTCCAGTGCCTTCCAAAGCACGATGGAAGTGGAGATAATATATTTTGGTCACCAATCCTATGACTGGCCCTTGCGAAAATTGCTCAGTAACGGTATTGAAGAAAAAGAAAATAAATATATTCTTATTTTTTTATTAGTATTACAATTAAGTTCAAGTGAATTATTTTACCGAAGTTGGGTTAAATATTCAATAGTTTCCATTTGCGTCGCTTCTAGGATTTGAAGAGCATCATATTCACCGTCCAGTTGCTCCAATATTATACTCTTGTCATTTATCTCGGCCTAGGCATTGAAAAGTTTTAATTTCAGTATGTTAATAATTATATGTACAATCAAGGTCAAAAAGATATATATGTACATCACAAGGTGCCACAAAATGTAACAATCCAAATTACATTATAAATATATACCGACATGATAATCAAAACTAAACAATCAAAAGGCTAGCTGATCACTAGTTAGGACGATCACGCGGGCCCAGTACTTAACTACAATACAGATGGGGGGAGTCCCCCACTGTCCGGCTTTACGCGAGTAGTGGCACATAGTCGATACCGTGTACCAAACTGCGCGAGGGATGCACGGTAGGCCTGCTGTAGATAGGGGTTCTTTAACAACCGCAGCAAGAGAGCCCGGGTTTGGTCGGCCTACGAGGTCGATGAAATGTTAAGGTCAGTTCCCCTCGGTACAAAAAAAAGGAGAAGCACACGTTAACATTACAAAATGACCGTCGCACCCCATTTTACATAAAGGAGCATCCAGTTTTTGGGTGCCAACCACATTCGCAGTTTACGTTCGGAGTCTAATGGTGTACTGGAAATAGCTCCCACTAGGTTGGGTTACTACCATGAGTCGCTGACTATTAAAACTACCAGTCTGATATCCGACAAGCAAAATCTTTTACTGTTTTTAGGAAAAATCTTCACAAATACTGGATAAATCTTAGCTTTTATAATAAAATATAGATATATTATGTATACATATGTAGAGTGTGTAGTTTATATTTAATGCATATTAGTAATATGTATTATTTATTATTGTAATAGTATAATATTTTATTATTATTTTATTAACCACACCACACTTCACTCCACGTCACTTGTACGTTAACAAAAGGTTTGTCTGGTTAGCGATCATCTATAGAGATAGTCTATCTATCTACTTTAGCACCACTAATCTCAATTGGGTCCCACACATGTGCCCACTCAGTAACGTTAGGTGGATTGGTTTCACTAAATCATATATATGTATATATATACTATCAAACTACTTGTATTTATATCTTTGACCTTGACTGTACGTGTAGAGAGCGAATGTTGAAAAACAATAATCTTTGGTCATCAGGAGTTCTGTGCGATATTCCAGGTGATGCTAGATATCTGGTGAATGAACGTTGAATGGCTTCAATACGTTGAGATTGAATTGCATAAATGGGATTCCTAATCTCAAGTGCATATTCCAGTATACTCCTAACTAAAGCGTTGTAAAGTATACTTAATTCTAACCGTAATGGATTTGAACTTATAACATAACGTTCGTCTAATTCGTCTAGTTCTCTTCTTGTCCACTTCAATGGAGAGGATTCAATTTTGGATGGACGTTATTCGCGATAGACAGTTATTCAACTAGCGATTTGCCTGCACCGCGATCTATTTTCCACAACGCTTTAAAGTAAAGCTAAATTGACTCTTAAGTAAATGACAAAGCATCCAACTCAAAATTGAGCTTTATCGTGTTTGAATAAGAATAAAATTTGCTTTGACTTTATAACGTTGTGGTAATAATTAGTTATCAAAAATAGACAGTTTTGATATCGGTGATTGGCGATCTGATAACGACTGCGTTATGTGATTTAAAAAATGGATAACGACCTATCGATAGATTCAATGGATGAAAGCGATTGCAAAAGTTGTTTCGCTCCGCTCCCCTTGCTTTTCAATGGACACATTCAGTTTCCTGATCAGTAATTGCGACTTGGAGACCCCAGCGCGCATTTCATACAAAGTGTGCAGCGACACGAACACGTTCGTTTAGTTTCATTTCCTAAAAAAACCTGACGTTTGACCAGAAGAACAGGAAAACAAATGTATTCATTCTTCAAGGGCGGGATCTCAATCCTGCTTGGCAGCCCGCCTTGCTGGGCCACAAAATGCAAAATTGTGAATGTTTATACAGCCTGCATAAGGTCCAGAACATGGATGCGTCTCGTAGCGAACTGTGGTCGAACTTCGCACTGCCAAGCAGGATATTGAGGAGCCCTATGGTTAATGGCTCCCTTAGGCCCAAGGGGTCTACTACGAAACCAAAATCCCGAAAATAGGACATCATACTTCGTTCAACATATCTTATTCAAATCTTATTTGTAATCAAATAAGCGCGATTATAATTTCAAATTTTTTTCTTCTCGATTAGTTTCCATGTAAACTTACCTGTAACTTTGCTTGTTCGGAATCTCTATCTTTTGTTATGGATTTGAGAAGGTTCATAGCACCAATTGCAGCCATTTTTTGTTTTTCTACATTATCACCAAGTTGCTTTAAAATGTCTAACATTGTATTGATGATTTTTAGGAAGTCTTGAATTTCTAAAAACATTATTATGTATGTATGTACTAAGGCAATATTTTTTCTGAGTTAGGAACGCACGGCCGCACTTAACACTACACACCACCACCGTAAGCAGATCTCTGTTGGTTAGTAGGGAAGTTCTATACGAAGTGAGGACAGAACAACGTCCACAATGTATAGTCTGACGTGCAGCCGTGTGTACATTAGTGAAATATACACACGGCAGGATCACTGCGATAAATTTTGAATTGTAACTTAATCGTTTCATGGTTTATAATAAGTTAGTATATTTTTTTTTGAAGAATTTTAGACAATGATTAAACATTGACTATTTATTTCTTGCACAAACTGCGACTTTTCCACGGATTTTAGTCGACCACTAATGTTATAAATCCGGAACAGTTGATACAAAAAGTTAAAAGTTATTTTGCTGGCGGTTTATCTCTGACAGATAAATTTTAGCGCGCAACTGACTGACAGGACAGTTACGCGCAAATCCGCTGGTCTTACAGGTTCCTTCGACCTTGCCTCTAGATCATCTCCATCTTTCATTCAATTCATTTTTATTTTACATGTAGTAATTAGTTTATTCACTTGACATTGGCAGAATTGTGCGAAATGCGCAGATAAGCCATTAATAAAAACCAGAAGAAAGAAGAAAACCCTGCCTCTACATACTTGATTGGTAAATACTTGAATCACACATACAATCGATTTGTCCAAGTATGGCCGGGCAAGTCGTGCTTGTTAAGGGTCTGAAAATTGTACAGTCGACAGCACGTCAGGCTATACAAAACTCAAATTTCTATACTTAATTTTAAACTTTAAAGCGTTATCGAGTGAGTTCAAAATCATTTGAGGAAATTTGACATTGTGGTAATCTGAGGTAAGCATACTATAATTTAAGATAAGCTATGTAATGGTAAATAACTTGTCAATAATAATAATAACACGCACTTGATTCATAATCCTTGCAAGTGGTTTTCACATCTTCAGTTTCTTTGAGTACAGCAGTTTCTAAAATCCTTATTTTGTGGATATCATCGTAGTAGAGATGGGCTTTTATTAATTCTTCTGCCATATGGAAATTTCTTTTAATTTTAGATCCTAAAGATACCTATGTTGATAACTTGTAGTCACCAATGGTTACGTGACGAATAATTTACATTTTGCATAGCTAACGGCATAGACCAGTTAAATAAATTTGTCTGTGATAAATGTCAATGTCAACGTCAAATAATGTCACTTTACAATAAGGATGAATTTTCACAAAAATATCGATATTAAATTTTATATATAAAAAAAAATGATTGTGTCTCATAAATTGACATCTTTCTATTGATATTTTTTTAATATGTTGAACTAACCTTATTGAAATCACAAAAAATATCAAGCTTATATGAGAGCTGACAACGCAAAACTAGACTGCTTTAGAGTTGATAAGGAAGTATTTAAAAAATCAAATTTCTTCCCGAAATCACTAGATGTCGCTACGGTACTATCTAGATTTCTCCATGACGACCCTTTCGGTTTTCTTTCATGTATAAAAGTAAATTAATTTTCGAAACTCAATAAACAAATCATATTCTATTTGAACTTTTTCGTATTTGTGTTGATATTTAAGTGTCGAACTTTGCAAATTTCAGTTTTTTAATATGTTAGTTAAAAGGAATGGAAATGACTATCTTTGGTCCATTCGTGCCCGCAAAAATAAATTTTTACCAATTGCCTTCTAGTGAGGTTCTTTTAAGTGCTTTCATTTACTAAAACCTTAGAGCAAAAGAATTTAAATTCGTTGCTTATCTGTAGTAATCCAAATAGTTTAACAGAAAAAATAATCGATTTAATAAAAGACTCGCTAGAAGAAAACACTAAAACTATTAAAATTAGAAGATATAAGCGTATTAGTAAACCCTGGATCACATCTGGTATACTACGTTGCATCACAAATAGAAATAAAATGCAGAAACAACTACGAACAGATCCAGAAAATGAAATCTTAAAAATAACTTATAGACGGTATAAAAATTTCACTAACAATTTAATCAAAAAACTAAAACGTAGATATGAGAGAGATCAGCTTGCGAAAGCACATAAGAATTTTAAAATATTATGGCCAAATATTAACAATATAACAGAGCTAAACGCAGAGAATGTTCTGAAAATTAGTTACTTAACTTAGAAAATGGGGCATACGAGTCGGTTAACAAAATTAATAAGTATTTTTCTACCATAGGAATTAACTTAGCTAATAAAATTAATGCAAATTGCAATACAAATAATTCCATTTCTGATGATGCTGTGACAAATCTAGTAATTGATAGGAGTCATGCCGGAGAGTCCTCCAGATCTAATTCTTCACTTTCTTCATCTTTTGTGCTTCTGGAGACTGATCAAATAGAAGTTTATGAAACTTTAATGGGTCTCAGGTCTGATAGTGCTCCTGGATGGGACGGTATACCTATTAAATTTTTAAAATTTGCGCATAAGCACGTGGTACCAGTGTTTTGTCACTTATTCAACCTTTGTTTTGAACAAGGTATTTTTCCTGCAGCTCTCAAACGGGCTGTAGTAACTCCTGTTTATAAGAGTGGTGACAGAAGCAGTGTCAACAACTATCGCCCGATATGAGTTCTTACGCCATTGTCAAAAATATTAGAAAAGCTTATAAACATAAGAATAACTAACTACCTAAACAAATATAAAATACTATCAGATTCACAGTATGGCTTCAGAAAAGGAATATCAACTGAAGACGCAGTTAATAAAATGACATCTATAATTGCTAGTAAAGTAGATAAGAGAAAAAAATGTATTACTGTTTTCTTAGATATAAAAAAAGCTTTTGACACTGTTTCTGTTCCTGTCCTTGTGCAGAGACTGGAGGGATATGGTTTTAGGGGAGTACCCCTTACCTTATTGACAGACTACCTGCAAAATAGGAAACAGCAAGTTAGGGTGGGAAGTTATATCAGCGATCAAGTCGATATAAGTTATGGTGTCCCCCATGGTAGCGTGTTGGGTCCTACTTATTTTCTTATATACATAAATGAGTTGAGCAATCTGAAGATCAAAAATGCGAAGGTATTTACATATGCTGATGACACAGCCATAATGTTCTCGGGAGATACATGGTCTGACGTGTATAGGAAAACGGAGAGTGGTCTTGCATTGGTTGCCGAGTGGTTAAAAAGACATTTACTAACTCTCAACATAAACAAAACTAACTATATATGCTTCTCGATAGATAAAAGAACTCAACCTAACAGCAACCTTAAAATTCGCATTCATAGCTGTGGAAATCCCAGAAGTGCCACTTGCTCTTGCTTGGGTATTGAGAAAGTTGAAACTATTAGATACTTGGGAGTTATTATTGATCAACGTTTGTCATGGCATCCTCACTTAGAAATGGTTATGGCTAGAATTAGGAAACTCGTGTGGATTTTTAAAAAACTTAGACATGCTGCTGATAAAGTAACTTAAAATAAAATTTATGTTGCTCTGGCCCAATCGGTGTTAAGCTATTGTATTACTGTATGGTTAGGGCCTACTAAACTTAAATTCTTTGAAGTTGAAAGAACCCAAAGGTCGCTACTAAAAGTAATGTACTTCTTGCCTTACAAATACTCTACTGAGGCACTGTATGCACATGGTGACATTTTAACTGTTCGGAAATTATGTATTTTTAACTCTGTATTGAAGTTGCATAGATCACTTCAATATGATCCTAATAACTTAAATAATAAAAGAAGAAAACACAAAGTTATTCCTCTAAGTACGGTAAAAACAGCTTTTGCTGCGAGACAATATCATAGACAAGCTACTCATTTATACAATATTATTAATAGAACTCTAAATATATACCCATTGAACTTACACACTTGTAAAATAAATGTTTTAAACTGGCTCAAAATCCTAAAATACGAAGAAACAGAACTTCTTCTAAAGATTGACAAATAAGTTGGAAAAGCATTCTTTATCAATATAAAATTAACAATTGAACAATTGGAAAAAAGGGCATTGCCAACGCATAAACACACACACACACACTTTATCTTTTAATTTAATTACTTACCTATGTTTAATCCGGTCTTGAAGAGCGATAACATCCTGATACAGGTATTTTTAAATATTTACTAGGAATGTTATCACAAACAAATGTTTCACACTGATTTGATATGTAAATAAACATTTTTGATTTTTGATTGATTTTTAGATTTTTTTAAATACTTCCTCATTAAAACAGCTGAATAGAGAGAGGATAAACAGGGCTGGATCTAGTGAGGACAAGATCACCAAACGAGGAGAGGAGGGGTGTAGATGGGCGCGATATTAAGTTTATGCCCCGGTTCAGAAAAAATCGTAGAGAGTACCTGTCTGGTACTGCGTCCGTCGGGGTATTACGTATTTGGTAAATTGAGGAAAAAAAATCGATATTTGTTTTAGCGATAGCGGATCATCCCTACCCTACAGCAAACCAGCTAAACGATAATATAATCAACACAAATCACAAAAAAAAAACGAATTAAACAAACAAGTGAAATTAGAAGAAAAGAAAGATACATGTTTTAAGAGGAGTCAAAGATTACAATATTATACAGAGGAGTTATGGATGGATTGTCGCAAAATGAGAAAATTATTTGGTCTTGTTGGGAAGAAAAATCACCGAGAGATGTTGTACGGGAAGCTGCTGCAAAGGGAACTCACATAAGTTTATGTATGAAATATTTAATGCATAAGAATGGCTGGAATGAATCTACAGCATCAGATTGGTTTATGGCTGAGGTAAGATGCAATAATTATACATCTGTGGTCACTGTGTTTATTGTTGTGTTAATGAAATCTACACAATTCAATTTCAGTCGTTCTGAATCTGAATTCCTAACAACTTATGATGATTTCTACAATATTAAATAAATTAATACTTCGAAGATTTAAGCCGACATGTTTCAATAAATCTGATGCTGACTGAACAGATCATTATTCATGGGCATAAATATGTATATTGATGATTTACTGGAGTTTTCTTAATCAATTATGCAGTCAACCTTTATCAACTGATTAGAGAAATAATTAAAAGTTGTTGTGATAATTTATAACTACTACAGTCTTTCTACTCCTCAAAATACACAACATATCAACACTGGAAAGCAAACACATAGTAACCAAAACCAGAATTGTTCTTCAGAGCAGAAAAGCTTTTATTTTTTTCCATAAATAATTCCTATAAACGTTCATGGTTACAAATAAGGTGTTCCTTAGTAAATTTTTACAGCAATAAGATATTTTTTTTAGAAAAATATAAAGATTTTCCCCATTAAATATCCGTTTTGGTTTTGGAGTTTATTACATGTTTGCTTTCCAGCATCAATGTGGTATTTAGGCTCCTTATGCACTCCTAGACTAGCAGTGTTGCTTTCTGTATAAAAATTTTAATTTCTATTTTTGCTGTTTCCTTTATTTCTAATTAGGTTTTTTTACATAACAATTTTTTACAGGTAAAGGCATGGACAGTACAATTGCTCATGCGGAAACAGATATTTAAGGTACTTCACATATTGAGTAAAGTGAAAGTTAATCCTGAAATACATTTAATTACGTTGGCTAAAACTTCACCCCAAATAGAATACAGAGATTTCATTGTTGAGCATTTGGAGAAATTGTCTAAAGATTTTTTACCAGAAAACATTAAAATATGGGAAGATTTCAAAAGGCATTGGAATTTGTTGCGGTATCTTGAGAAATCATTTGAAGTAGATGGCACATTTAAACAAAATAAGGTTTTTGGTTTTGGTAAAGACAGAATAGTAGTTAATGAGAGTGAAATAAAATCATTGACAGTGGAAAATATTGAAAAATATTCTAATAAATGGAAATGCAAAATAGCTACAGCTTTATTTTTCGAATCATTTGGTAAGTATGCATGTCTATTGTTTCAGTCTCCTAAAAATATGTCAATCAAACTATGGTGCTGGTTCATTTGAATGTTACGAAACAACAGTTGGTTTCTCCTATGATATATAAGTATAGTATAATAATATTATGATGGTGATTTTTAAATGTCAGAAATCTCAGGTAAAATACATTATATCATAATAGAGTATCTAAACTTATTAAAAAACGCTACCTCAGCAATATTTTTTTTTTTATGTTAACTCTCCCCACTGTTGAGAAGGACTACTTTAGCAATAATTAGATCTCACATTGGGTTACCATATCTCCGAATTTATCCTGAGAACTCAGGATTTTTCCATTCTTCCCAGGATTGTGGTCAGATTCTGGAAATCTCACGATTTTTAAGATATTTACACTGATATAGTATAGCATTTTCAAGATCTCTAATAAAAAGTTATACAAACAGAAAATTATCATACTCACTTTGTGATGTGCAACAAGTAAGCAAGATCCCCTGTGATCCGCAGTATATAAAAATGATAATAATTTGACCATTTTAATTTGTTAAGTATGTTTGAGAGTAAAATCTCATTGTGTGAACTAAATTTTATAATTTTTGGTATGAATACACAGATATACTGAGGAATGAACTTGACAAAGATGGATCTGTATAGCATTTTCAAGATCTCTAATAAAAAGTTATACAAACAGAAAATTATCATACTCACTTTGTGATGTGCAACAAGTAAGCGAGATCCCCTGTGATCCGCAGTATATAAAAATGATAATAATTTGACCATTTTAATATGTTAAGTATGTTTGAGAGTAAAATCTCATTGTGTGAACTAGATTTTATAATTTTTGGTATGAATACACAGATATACTGAGGAATGAACTTGACAAAGATGGATCTGTTCTCAATAAAAGTTCATTAAGATGGAGATTAATAGAATAGAACTGTGTAGAAGACACATAGCAATCTGTCTTCCCATCTCCATCAATTTTATTTTAAAATACAACTTATCAATGTTCATTTATACTGCCCATTGTAGTAGGAGAGCAATACAATATTATAACTCTATTCTACTGCCCTGCCTCAATAAAATATCTCACAAACACTTAACTATTTATCAGAGCAGGTTCAACCTGCATTGATAAAAGAGGTTTGGTGTTAAATAGTCTTCTTAAATATTTAAAAATATTACCTTTTTGTTTTTGTGTTATTGTCATATAAACTTCATGATGGATTAATTAATATACAAATAACAGGTAAAGTTTCTAGCTTTGTTTGTTGGTAGGGAGTAATCTTGGTAAATACTGTTCTGATCATGAAAATTCTTTCACCTATGGGAACCTACAACATTATGTATGTAGATGACATGGGTTATAATTTACACAGGTGAAGTTGCAGGAACACAGCTAGTGTTACATAAATTTATAATTGAATTACTACAAAATTGATAATAAAGAGGTCAAAAGCTGTTGTAGAGACAAAGTTATTGGTTGCTTTCTCTTGTTTACAACTCCATTAGAGACCTAATTGTATTGATTTACTGATGAATCATTGACTGACCTACATACATATAAATCATAAATAAAAGAAAATGAACAGTAATTTGAAATAAATCTAGGTGAAGTAATTATTTATTGTTAACATTACTTGATGATTAATAAATAGGTTAAGATAATGTGGTTATAAATGGTAGGTAGAAATGAATCCTATTGCAGTTGTATTAAGGTTGTAGTTAATGTAATTGAAAACATTATTTAGACAGTTGATACTGCTGTATACATAATTTATTTTAACATTTTGAAGGAACCCATAAGTGAAATGATTAAAATCTTTTCTTTTATTCCTTCAATTGTAAATAATTTTTATTTTTAAATAAAGGCTTCATGTTACTTATTAATACTTAAAAAGTTATTGATACTAACCATGTAACTTCAGCTAAAGTTTATAAATTTTCATTGGATATTTAACATAATATAGTTTGACATTTGTAACTCAATTGGTTAAAGTAGTTGTCGGTTGTGAAACATCAGAACTGACAATATATATTATATGACATTCAACCCTTGCATTTTTAAGGGATGATCCATTGCATACTAATGCATACTTCTGCGAGGCTATATGCTTCTTTCGTCAGGTTTGGTGCTTGTTCTTAATTTTAGCTATAACTCTATTCTTTCTTTATATATTACATTATATTTTTCTTGTTTAATATCTATGTCTGATTTATTATAAGCTATTATTATCCATACTGCTTACTTATTCTTATTTTTGTTTTCAGAATTCTCTCTACTAGACTTTTCCTCATCACTTGAAGTATGGGATTACTTGCTTCAGAATAATAAGGCCATGATTCTCATTCGTTGGATAAACATGCACACTTCAGAAGTAGTGCGTGATAAGAATGCCCGCTTTATTTTCTTTAGCAATGAAAATTTTTCAAAGAAATTTTTATATGTAGATACAAAAGGTTTCAATAATGATGTTCTTGAAAAGTTAGACAGTGTCTTCCGCAGTTGGCGTATTACTGATAGTATGATAGCAAGTGTTGCAACCAGTAATTGCTTTCCATATACAAAAATGTGTATATATGACACACTAGCTTCCTATGGTATTGTGAATGAGGATGAGCGTGATAATTTGTATGCAATAATATCGAGACTTGCTAGAACTCAAAATTTGAAATTGATAGATGAAATATTTTCTGAAACCTGTGCAACTGTAACTAAACAACATTTTTATGTCGAGCTTGCTAAATATTGTGTTAAACATAGACTGTACAAAGTTTTGACCATGTGTGTTGAGGGTCACATATTAGATACTCATTTATCAAATGTGGAACAAGAGGCCAAGGAATGCATTGAGCTATGGTTACTTTTTAAAAGTATTGAGCAAACTTCAGATCGACAGAGTCATGTTCTTCCTGTTTATAGAACTTGTGAGCAAATTGCTAGAGAGAACATTGATGATTATATTTCTTCAAATCCTCATTTGATAATTGGTATGATTCTGCTCGAGGATAATGCAAAACTATTTGATATATTTTCTCAGAATGAGTTTCTACAATTCAAAGACTTTAAATTGCCAAATAAAAGGTATAAGAATAAATTAACTCATTTGTATAATGTCCATAAAAAATATTCCGACCCAAACGATTTATACGAGTGTAAAGATGTAAATGTTTACCAGTTGTTGTCTGGATATCGTGGGTTGGATGTATCTAAGATATTTGAATTTCAACTGGTCAATCAGAATTCAAAGAGTTTGCTTAATAGTAAACCAGACAGACGTAGTCTAGGTAGTCTTTTATCTGGCGATGTGAACGTCAATACTGCTGGTGTGAAATCACTCACTCAGAAACCTATGGACATGCCACATTTCGCCGACAAAAAGCTCATGAAAAGATATGGTTACGTGGCGAAATTAAACCATACTTACTATTTAAAACAATATCGTCCTTGTAATGCTAGTCAAGCGTTTGTTGAACAGCAATATTTAATGTACAATCGTTTGCAAGAGAAATGCGTCAAAAGTGCTTGTTGTGAAGCGCATGCATTGGCGCTCCAGAATTGGTCCGATCCAGCAATTACTGCTTGTGCTATATCTTTTATTGCAATGATTGGATGTAATACATCTAGATGTCGGGTACATATGTCGGTTGCAAAAATATTAAAAGAGTACCTCACCACATGCAAGAATATGCAGATTGAGAAAGTCAACAAAATTATTAGTGAATATATGTACAAGTTAATTCAGAGTGATGATGATGCTGCTAAAGAAATACTCGAGTACCTAGAAGATGCAACCATGTTAAAACTAAAAGAGAAACAAGATTTAGACGGAAAAGTCGATATGGCTGTTGTTTTATACGAGTTTCAAACCGTGATCAAATTTGCAATGTTACATAATTTGCCTTTGCCAGAGAAGCAATTGAAGGTGTTCATAAAATCAGAGTCTTGGTTTAATTTTTTACTTTTCGGTGACGTGTTTCGTTATCCTTTAGTTCAAATGTTACAATTGTCGCAAGAATTTGAAAATAGATCATATGCAGAACACTTAAAACATATAATGTTACATAAGCAATCTGAAGACGCGACTGAAAAGGATAGTAAATCTAACTTGAGCAATGGACAAAGGAAGGTTTCAAGATTAAATTCAATGGAATGCGTAAGAGTTTTGTTTTAATATCTGATCTATTTTTGCCATCCCCGTTAAACCCACTAATGTTGCTCTTTAAAAAAATTATTATGTTCAGAAGTATTGTATTTATTTGAAATTCTACGTTAGCTTATTTATTATTTTGTAAAGACGATACTCTTCGGTCCTATTTACTGCCAAGAGAACATTAATATGATTAATTTCAGAGTCCATCGCAAAGTTCGCAGTGCTCTTTCGAATTTCCCAGTTTGCAATTGGGGCGTGAATTGTGGGAAGTAGCTGCGTCTTGTCACGGCCCTGAAGATCCTCCCGCTGCACTTATACGTGCCGCTGAAATGTGCCGAGAACCATTACTAGTTTTGATTGCCAGCTGTTATGAAGTAAGATTTTAAAATTATTGATTATTTGGGAGATGGGAAAAATTAACAGAAGTCATGGTCTTATCGCTATCAACATTAATTTCTGATCACTTAAATTCCGGAAAAAGTGTCAATAGCATTTACAGACATAAAAAAGCCTTCAACACATTTTGCCTCTCCATACTTGTAAGAAAATGGAACATATAGGGATCCGGGGTGTGTCGCTGAATCTATTAACTTACAAAATCCATCTCAGTGTGTATAAAACCGATAATTTTTAAGCAGTGTCTCAAATGAAGTCTTTTGGATCCAATCATTATTATTACAATGCTAATGTTCAGATTCCATGTATTCTTGAGTCTAATAAAAGTTCCTCTCTAAAAGCCTGCGATATAACATTTTTTTGAACATGTTATTATTTATTGGCAGATCTATTAGATTAATTACCACTTAATTATTCAATTTCAATTATTAAAAATCTTAATGGCCATGTAAAATACATTTTCCTTGAATATTGTCAAATTATACTTAGGTATTGCAATTTTGTTTTTCCTAATACTATGTGCATTTGTTTTTGTTTCGAAATTAATTTTAAAATATTCGGGGTGTTTTTTGACAAATAAGCACAGCTCCGATATTGTACATGGAAGGCATTGTTAGAACTTTTAGTTTTTTGAATAGTGAATCATATTATTAAACCATAGCGTAATAGTGAAGACATGTATCCGTGATGTGTTTGTAAAGCTGTTTCTTGATTCTATTCAATGCGAAAACGAATTAATTAATTTTTGTGCATATCTAATGATACTTCCAGTAGTAATGTATGTCGAGCTTCTAGCGTCAAGCCCAACAATGTAGGTGTGTCAGTGATTTCAACTCTAACGTTGTTATAGCGGATATCTGTAATATCTTTTTTGGATTTGTTTGTGTGAAATTGTATGAAATTTAGTCTTTGAGAGATTGATTTTGAAATTATTCTAAAAAAGCCTTCAACACATTTTGCCTCTCCATACTTGTAAGAAAATGGAACATATAGGGATCCGGGGTGTGTCGCTGAATCTATTAACTTACAAAATCCATCTCAGTGTGTATAAAACCGATAATTTTTAAGCAGTGTCTCAAATGAAGTCTTTTGGATCCAATCATTATTATTACAATGCTAATGTGCATTGCAATGTAAAATGCAATGATTTTGAAATTATTCTAATTCATCCAATTTATAACGTGTGAGAGTGTATTATTAATGTCATTTTGAAGGTCGTCAAGGTTTTTATTTTGATATTATATTGTGCAGTCATCTGCTAATAAAATACAATTGTCATTGGTAATGTCAGGTAGGTCATTTATATATAATATGAAAAGTAATGGCCCTAATATGCTATTCTGGGGTACTCCGTTCAATATTTACCGGTATTTAGATTTAATAGATTGTCGTTTTATCTTTGTCTACTTGATAGGTAGCTTTCAAACCATTTATGAGCTATTCCTCTTATAGTCATAGAGCTTTTCCAGCAAGATTTTATAATTTACAAAATCAAAAGATAGAAACAGCTATCAGGGGTACCTTATCATTAAATGGTTCTGTTACCTTTTTTTACAAAATTAAAACAAGCTAATGTTGTGGATTTCCCTTCTTGGAATTCAACTTGCTGCTTATTTATGATATGTTTTTTCATAAAGGACAGTAATCGTTTAGCTACAATTTTTACAAATATTTTAGATAGCACCTGTATAAGTATAATAGGTCGACATTCCCCACATCAGTAGTATCCCCTTTCTCATTAGTCATATGAATAGCCATCATAATTATATTGATAACAGTCAAATAGTGTCATATTCAGATGGTACCGATACAGTCCTCGCTGGGGAACCCTCTTCTGTATAGGCGTAACGACTGCAGATGCAGATTAACAGCTTAACGTGACTTCTGAAACGTTAGAAAACTTCAGACAGTCAATAATGATCATCCATCTGCTACGCAGCCTTTATAAAAGTTGTTTACACTGCGCAATCACACTTCTTACCCCAATGCCTCTTAGTCCTTCTTTGTCAGGTATAAGTATGAATAAATTGCATGTAGTTAGTATTATTTTCTTTGTTTATAGCCAAATGCTGTGGGTGTCCTCTGGGTTCAGTGGGTGTTGTCTTCTCTGGGGCCGAATGTGGAAGTGCACGACTTCATACAATCCGATACTAGTCAACAGGCCGTTACCGCTGATCAATTCCAGCGAGTCGCTGAACTATGCTTAAGAGAGGGATACATATCAACGTTGCATGAGTCAATGCTAATATTTATGCCCGTAAGTGGTAACACAGGACATTTTTATACAATACAAAATTTCTAAATATATGTTAAACTTTAAAGTTTCAAAGTAGAGTTCAAATTATGCACAATTATATGGAAAACTATAATCGTGTTCAGTAGCCTGCGGCTTTTTTACGAGTAGTTATCTATTTTCATGTCATTTCGCTATATATGTCCTTTCGTGAGATCAAAATTGTGTCGTATACAAACGATTTATATGTAAATCTCTGAATCGTAAGACGTATCCATATTATGACAACATCTCCTAAGTTGCAAAAGGCTCTATTCTTAAAAGGATATAGCGTTAACAGGCACAATCATTTTTCTAGGAAAGTCCATTGACTCTTCTTACATCATTTCTCTATCGGTGTATTCGCAATCGCATCTTCGACTCGGAGACCGTGAGGCTTCTGAACAGCTTTCTGCAGCACTGCAAACGTAGGTACAGTGTGGACACATCTAATGTGACGTGGCAACTGTCTAGAGAAGCCTTGCAGAGAGTATCTGTCGCACTTGTCAAAATAGCCATGAGCTATAACTTCGATAGCGCTTACCATCAGAGAGAATTCTTAAGATGCTTGGCGGAAGCGGAGTTTGAAAAATCCATAAATGGTAAGATCAACAATTTCTAAAACTGCTCTTTAAGGTAGGTACATTTTTCACATGAACGGTTTGAAATGGCGAAAAAATAATTCCGATGTTTTCAGGACTGGTATTTATTAATTCCATGGGATATAGATATTTGTTGAATCCCACGTGATCGAATCTACATAGTTGTGTCTAACGGCTTAATGTGCCGTCCGTAATACAGAGTTCCTCGAAATATTATTTTTTTACGTCCCAACTGAAGTACGACCTTTGCAAGAGTTTTTTACTTTTGCTTTTGTGAAAACAATACGCTATTATAATACGAATGACTTACAATATTGTCCGCCAGAATGTTGTTTTCATGCCATCAGTATAGATTAAATATTTTAATAAAAATAATATCTTTCTTTACAGTACCTACTCCAAATTTTATAGTTTTGTATGAGATCCTTCAAATATCGATGGAGACTTCATTGGTCGTTAACATATCTAAAATGCTCCAGGAAGACGCAACCGACTATTTAGCAGAATTTATAGAACTGTATACCGTCAATAGAAACTACGACGTTGCTCTTAAAATTGCTAAATTGGCCAAATTACCCGTTAATGACATATTAAAATCTGAGTGGACGCACAAATACCAAATGCTAATTAACAAAGAAGATTATGTACTAGAAGAAAAAGAATTGACCTTATTCATTGCTCAATGCAGCGAAGCTTTCAAAAAAGCTCCAGTTACCTTCAAAGAAGCGACAGATTTTCTGGTGCATTACACCGAAAATATAACTGAGCCTCTTCAGAAGTTTTACTCATACAAAATCATTATGAGTTGGTTTCAAGAGCACCACGAATATGGACGTCGAAGAGAACAGATCGAACACAGAATGTGGGCTGCGTATTTTGAAAGTGAACCACATTATGACGTCTTTCTAAATGGCTACCATAGCACTTTACATTACATATTAAACGGACAGAAAGATCAAACTGTATCGAAGAAGATTGGCCTCATAAATGCAGAGAAACCGTTTTCAATGGCAATTGGAGAGATAGAAGTCGAATCAGATGTTGGTAACATCGAAGATGTAGTGATGCTAGAAGAACCGGAAGCAATTGACAACTGGAGAAAAATTATGGGGCAACTGATTGAGTTGAGATTGCTGGTTGATGCTTTTCGTCTATCGGCTCTTTTTAAGACGCCGCCTGAATATAGATATCGGTATCCTTGTTGTCCCGTTCAAATAATAAGAACTTGTCTGAAGTTAGCTGAAGGCTCCTGCTCTCCTTATGAGTTGCCACAAGAATTGCGACTGGTTATTTCCTCACCTTTGCTTCAAAATAAGCTATCGAGTAAGAAAAACTTTGTTTTATTTCTTTATAACTGAATATGCATAATTGTTGATATTCTATAGTCTTAGAACGAAGAATGGCTTGCAAAATGTCAAATTTTTATATCAAAAATCCTAGTTCCTTTTAGCGCTGAGTAATCAATACATAACTGGATTTTATTCTTTATACCAATTCGATCTGTGCTCTATAATTTTCGTCCTAATGGTAATGGTACCTGTTTTAGTTTCAGGAACGTCGGATTTGAGTTTCGAAGAATTGGTTGTTATACAAGAGAAACAAGATAATGTACCCGAGAGTGTGCATTTAGCGGCTAGAGAAGAAGCCGATCGGCTCTCTGCTTTAGATGCGCTCGCTGTGCGAAGCGGATTGACGCTCGCGAAGCAGGTATGAGTCCGGTATTTCATTATAAATGAATAAAAAACATTGTCGCGTACATTGTCTAGATCGCAATTAGCAATTAGGGATCTTAAATGGAGGCTTAAGCTAAACGCAACGAAAACGGAAGCCATTGTGTTTACCCGTCATCGTTGTCCATCCAAAAGACCACTTAAGATAGCAGGACATTCTATAGATTGGAGAAACTCAGTTAAGTACCTCGGGGTCACAATGGACAATAAACTTAATCGGTCCAAACATATATGGACTTTACGCATTAAGAGTGCTCAAGCACTGGGTGCCTTAAAGCCTATTTTAAATCGTAAAGTATACTTAATACTAAAATTAAATTAAAAATATATTCCGCCCTTGTTAGGTGTGGAGTAGTACATGTTTAACTAATTATGATCTATTACAAACAATAAAAAATAAAGCCATTAAAATTGCATATGATTTCCTTCCTTTTCAAAAATCTGAAAAAGATTTCCTTTAACAAAAATCTGAAAAAGTTACATTCAAAAATCAAATATCCATTACTCTTTAACTTCATTATTAAATTAACACAGAAATTTTACAAAAAGAATAAAGAATCTTTAAATCCTTTAATATATAATTTATGTAATACTTCCATATCGGATATCAAATGTGTCGATAGTTACGGTACATATCGTTTACCTCATCACTACATTATTTTTTCTCCGTCCGGTGTTGGAGAGCATGCGTGACAAATCCAGTGACATGTAGTTGTTGAACTTTTTCCCCTCTGTCGCCGTTGTACATTGGCAACGCGGGGGGAAGGGTAGCTCATTGCACTTGACTTAAATTGGCCATTTGACAGCAAAACTTCTAATTTTGTTGATAATTTATATTACCCTCATAGAAATCAAGCTAATCACAATTAAGTGAATGCGTTTTGTATTTATAAAATATTGTAATATTAAATATTTTAGTGTTATTGATTGTATAATTAAGTTGTGATGAGTATGAATCTAGCACCAGTGGATAAACTTGTGAATGCGAACTTAGTCTGATAAAGTGATCTGTAATGCATGGTATGTGTATAATATTGTACTAATTATTATACATTGTATTATATTATGAAATAAAGATATTTGAAAACAAAAAACAAATAGGGGAAGTCCTTGTGTTATATGGTATAGAACAACCCCCGTAGTACGAACGCTGCATATCCCGTATCATATGATAAAGCACGTAATACTGTCTCACACATTTTCACGGGGAAGTATACACAGACAGACACGACGTTTTATCGCGTATTAATTGTCGATAAGAACGTTTATGCTAGGATGGCAGGTACCATAACATTGAGACGATATAGTAAATATGTTTCTTTGCGATAATGGGAATCGTGCCTCAGCGCTTATTTGGAATTCAATAAATCAATCATCAGCCCTTTTACGTCTCTTTAGCTCAGGTCTTCCTTATTAAATTAAGGAGAATGGGCCATGACCATCCACGCTGGCCCAATGCTTATTGGAGGAATTAGCTACTGCAAATGCAGCCAGTACCAATGGCTTAGCGATCACGAGCCACGGCGCTTATCCACTATGCCACCGAGCTACTAATCAGTTGGAATTATTATTTCCGGTCAAATAAAACCTTCATAATAACATATTAACGTCTACCTTATTTAGTGCATTAGTGAAAATCGTCTGTAAATCTGTTTAACTATTTACTTTATCGCGTTCAGACATATATATGGGGACGGAAAAGTTTAATACCTCAATATAATAATGATGTAATTAAATTTCTTTTTTTTTATTTTTACAGGTTGCTAGCTATTTTCGTATAGCTTTACAAATAGGCTGGGAGTATATGTCAGTACTGAAGTACCAGAATCATTCAGTCGATTTCATCAACCTAGTCAGCGGGAGAGCACGAATGTCTCTTGCAAACATGGTGTTTAAAACATTCAACATTCCATCAAAACAAGTATGTTATCAATAAAGAATAGAGCTTCTTTCTTTTGAATATGGTTTGATATCGCATATTTTTTTATTAGGTTGCAGAATACTTATGCCGCGAAATGGTAGCAGCGATAATATCTCCGCACCTAGTCAAAACATCAACGTTTAGACAAAAAGAGCATTTTCAATATACTCTTTGGGGATACACGCTGAGTTCTGACTTGGAAATGTTTCTGAACATGCGCCCAGATGCATGTAGCCATATCGGAAGACTTATCCTTGACCATCTCATGGCATTCCAAAAGATATATAAATCAATGAACCCGGCGAAAATGCCAGAAAACACTTTGGATGACAGCTGTCTTGACGTGGAAACTTTAATAGATGAAGAGTACCAGAATGTGGAAAGTGGAGAAGTGCAATCTGTTTTAACTGAAGAAGGAACTGTAATGTCCGCTGACACAGAGTCTGTATATTCCGTGTCAAGCGTTTATACCGTTGGCAATAAGATGACGCGTGAATCGAGGCGAAATCTTTTTGATGTCATAACGAAGAGCAATGTGCACATAAGATACGAAGTGAAGTCTAATATTAGAAAGATAACGAAGGGCGCCAAGTTGTCTACAAAACAGGTTTGTTACAAAAAAAAAAACTATATATTTCCGGTATTTTGAATTCATATTTCATTTTTTTTCTTTTGATAGTACTGATATTTTCGGTTTGTCAATCCTGAAAAAACAAATAATGTATTCGTCGCACTCGTATTTCATCTTACTAAGGTTACTGATATACTGATAAATGAAACAACTTTTAAACCATTTTCATCGCGTTTTTATTTTCTTTTATTGACCGGATCATTTACAGGTTCCGTGTTCATAACCTTCATAACATAACATAACCCAGAACCTGTAAAGGGTCCGAAACGTCAATAAAAGAAAATACAAAACGCGATGAAACCAATCAAGTCAATATGATATAGTGATATTACGGGTTATGTGATATTCTGTTTGTTCTTCAAAATACATTTGGTAAAACTTCTAAGTGTATATTGTCGCAATAAAAAACATACATAAATCCTAATTCGGCTCTCTTCTGTTTGGTCCGGTCTGGTAATGCGACTGTTTTTTTGTATACTAAAAAAATGTTGCCAGGTGAATATAATTTCGATCGAGCTGCTAGTGTTAGCGCACGAATGTTTTTCGTGCGCGTGCGATACAGAGGGCGTGGCGGTTACGCTTCGTTCTGCTCAAGCGCTCACGGGCCGACTGTTAGCCGCTCGCTCGTGGCGGCTCATGGTGCGACTGTTAACGGGATTGGCCCGATATACTGAATGCGCATACGTCTTTCAGGTAACTGACAAAGATGTCAATAACAGGGTATTCTACTCTCTTTGAAATAATATTAGTGACTGTTTATTTTAATTTAAAAAAGCCTAAAAAATATTTCATGAAAATAAACATTATTTTAATTTTCTTATACCCGCGAAAACTAAATCCGTCATATTCATGACGTCATTGTGATATGAACACAAAACAGATGCATAGAGTAGAATAATAATAATAATAATTTATTTCGCATGAATGCGAAGAAGATTAAAAAATTTCGATAAAACAAGAATAATGCCATCTAACGATTGATTACGAAATAAAAAGATATAGATGGGGAAGAACACGCCATCTAGGAATTTGATTTATAATTATTACTTCATGTTTATTACGATCTTTTTGTTTTTGTTCAATTTCGCGACTTATTTGTCACTACCGAAACTACCCCACTGTATTAAGATTGTGTAAATCGAGGAATTCACTAGCAAACAAGTCTGTCGACATGCCAGCCATACTTCGTAACTATAGGTCTACAGCGACGAAAATTTTTTTGAACGTTGATACAGTGATAACATATAAGGCAAAAAAATATTATTACCCTGACACATATACTTTTCGGTAAAAAAAATATTTCGTTTTTTTTTGTATGGGAGAAATTACATTTTATTGATTTTCTCAAAAAATTTAAGCGATGTCAAGATGGCAATCACATATGTGACAAAACTAATTATTCTGAGTATTTCATTCGAAGAAACTTACTGCCTATCGCTGCGTACTTCCGAGATTTTCGAGGTAGAAGAAACATTTTTTTTTTATTTTATATGTGCCGTTTTTCGAATCTTAAAATAACTTTAGCACTTATAATGTACGCCAATTATATTCTTTTGTCAAATACATAAAAAAAAATGTTCTGAAGCGGTGGGTCTCACTGTCACTTAAACCTCAGACAGGCAGGCAGGCAGGAGGATCGGGTAGAAGCAGTTAAACATCCTTTTATATACGACCTTTCAGAACGAGAAGTACCATTAGTTATGGAAAACACTATTAAGAGGAAGACAAAAAATTCAAATTATTCATATTCACTTCGAAAGATACATAAAAAATTTTAGGTTAAAAGATTAATGTTTGGATCACTGTTTTCTTTTTCCTCGTTTTCCACTGAAAGTAATTCATTATTCAAGATCAACGCACTAGCCTCTGGAAAAAGTTTTTTATGTAAACGATCAAACTTTGGCTTCATATGTGTGATATAAGGATCTGAGCTAATTAGAAAATTGTGAATTATGTCCAAATTAGTCTCAGCTCTACCGATTTTTCTTGTATGTGCCATTCTAACGTTCCGGAAATCCTTATTCCTTGCTTCGGAGGCTTCTTCTGAAAGCATGCCTATCGGAATAAAGGAGAAAGATTCACAAATGTCAGCACCGTGTATCAGCAATTTATGTATACTTGAGGGCATATAATACCATGAATATAAGTTTACATAGAGCACTGCTGTTTCTTTACAATATTCTCTCAAAAGGCCTGTGTCAATCAATTGCCCAGATGAAATGACTTGTAAGATAACGGCAAATCTTTTAATTAAATCAGGGTGAATACCCGTTATTTCGGCAGATATTTCAAAATTTTCAAAAAACCTTCGTGCGGTGTTACCGTCATTGGTTGTGCCAAATCCCTGTTTCACTATGTCAATCAATAAACCAGTTCTTTCCCTGAATTCTTCTTGGGTTATAGTTTTTTTATTTCTTTTAACAATTTATCGTCATTTCGTGCCGACCACTTTTTAAAATCTAAATTGTAGGAAATGTGTAAAATACATTCCATGCATCTTATCCACATATGGAGCGAAGACAAACCATATTTATACATATCATCTCTGATGGGTCTTTTGGATACATAGTCCAAGTCATTCATTTTACTAGGTGGAGTATTACAAATATTACAAACAGCTGCAGAAGAAGTGTTGGAAATCACAGTGGAAATTTTCCCATCAATCATAGTCATGTACAAAACATGACTTACCTCAAAATTGTCTACAACTGTAGGAACAAGATTATGTATTTCTTCCTCCATGGAAGCACTCTCCTTCTTAATCAAATCATTTGATTCTTTGGCAAATATAAAACCAATTGGACGACAGTAGTTTGTTGATGAGGGGGTAGGATTTTTCCATAAGATAGTACCTTCTTCTAAACGAAGCGGAACCAAACTAATCATAAATACTGAGGAATCGTCAATTTTTATATCGTACTTTGACTTTTGTTTATAGTTACTTTGAGAAGAAGACCCTTCAAAACCCCATTTGCTTATCAGTTTTAAGGATTTTTTGTCTGCAGAGTTGTGCTGAATTGTTTTTAATATCCTATTAGATTTAACTAAATCTAGAAGAGATTGAAGTCTTATCCTTCCTTCAGATTCAGTTACAATAATGTCTGTCTCGGGAGGATAACATCTTTTTTTAGCGTCCAAAAGCTTGTGATAGGACGGAAGACCAAAAATATTATCTGAAGCAAGAATAGATCTCAAATTAAGATATTGCCATTTTGACAGATTTAATGACGTGACAAGCGCCAACGCCTTATTATCAGGTAAACACGGTTTCACAGTTTTCACAGTTTTTACAGTGAATAAAACGTCACTTACGATTTCACATTTTTCTTCATTTTGACTAAGTTCTTTTATTATAGATGCTAATATTGCTTTGTTGGATTCTTTTAATTTAAAACATAAAGCATAAAGAAGTTCCTCCTCAGTGTAATCTAGAAGTGTGAGAGAACGCCTTTTCTTTTGCTTATCAGATAAATCCAAAAAAGGTTTTTTACTAGTACTACAACTTGCTTGATTATCTACTAGCGTATCAATGATTGGAACTTCTTCCTCGGTAACTCTGAAAATGTTGTTTAAATCAATATTCTTACATTTTGGCCAAACGATTTCAGACTCTAACCAGTGTGAATTTTTGTTCAAAAACGTTTTTTGGGTTCGGCTAGAAGCAGACCATCTTTTTGAGACATTACTTGAAAAATTACGACAATATAATTTAATAATACTTAAATCTTCGGAAGATAATTCAACACCAATGCGTTCGGTAAGAGTTTTAAAAAGAAAATCAATATTTTTTGAACCACCTCCAGATTTAAGAGCAACGTATAAATCTAAGTTGGTGACAAATGCGGACATGTTCTATAATTTTTAAGGAAACTCTATTCAACCTATTTGTTTTACAAAAAGGATATTTAAAGACAAGACAAGTCAAAGACAAGGTGATTTTGTCCCAAAAACAAAAAAAAAAACAACAAAAGCAAAATAGAGCTATCTCTTGTCGATATGAACAAAAAATTATTGAATTGTAAAATCCAAGGAGTGGAAAACGATAATATAAAAAACAATAAAAAAAAACTTCAAACCCTAAGCTAAAAATCTATCAAAGACAAAGGTACCTATCAAAAACAAAGGTATTTTAAACCAAAAATAAAAAATAACGAAAATAAAATCAACGAGAGCTAAACAAACATAAAATTTTAAATTATAATAATCCAAAGACTCTAAAAAAATAACAAAAACAAGTAACAATAATATAACAAACAATTTAACAACTGAGGTATTTATCCAAGCGTACAGAAAACGAAACACGTCTAATCGCAATCACATTTAGCTGTATACTGACGTGTGCGAGAGCGTGTCATGATACGTCATGAAAGGCGGCCATATTGTTATTCCGGCAAACTCGCGTCGAAGCTTCATATTTCTGGCCAGCGGACCTATAATCCATAAAAATGTAGCATTTTGAATGTAAAAACAAGATGTTTTTGAATATATACTTAACAGTGGTGTGTAACCTGCGTTATTATTACTAAACAGTCCATTTTAAAACTCATTTTCATATATTTAACTCGTACAAAACTATAATTTGAATTTACAAAATACATGAATTTTGATGCTTATTATCTCCAAAGTACGCAGCGATAGGCAGTAAGTTTCTTCGAATGAAATACTCAGAATAATTAGTTTTGTCACATATGTGATTGCCATCTTGACATCGCTTAAATTTTTTGAGAAAATCAATAAAATGTAATTTCTCCCATACAAAAAAAAACGAAATATTTTTTTTACCGAAAAGTATATGTGTCAGGGTAATAATATTTTTTTGCCTTATATGTTATCACTGTATCAACGTTCAAAAAAATTTTCGTCGCTGTAGCTTCAATGTCCATGTTTTATTTTTTCGGGACCACAAAATGGACTAGGAAAAAAAAATCTTGTACCAAGATGGAACTATAACCAAAATGTAGTATAAGTTGAATGTAATTATTATATACCAACAATTTATTTTTAAAAGCTGGGAAAAGAAAGATAATCCTCTCTAAAATATGATCTTTATTTTTTAGAACGCAGTTTAAATTATGTTATTTTTGAACGCATCTTAATAATAATGTCATTCCTAGAGAAGTCCCTCTCTTTCAAAGAACAAGATCGATTTTATTTCTGACTAATCTAATTTGATACAAATCTTATATTATTTACTAACCATATAAATCCATGAAAATTATAAAACTTAGATAGATTACTAATATAATTAGAAGTTATCTAGAGGAAAATAGTTTATTTATAATGAAATTAAAAACTAATAGATTATTCATAAGAATCGATATTACAGTAATCAATCGATTGCGACCTCCCTTTTTTAGACAAGTATGTGTAGACGTGTTTCTACGCAGACCGTTTTGTAACTTTGGCGGCGATTTTGTATTATGGGGAGCATACTAGGTTCCATGGGCAGTATAGAATTGAGGTCTGTAGAGAAATACCGGATTCTCTGGATTTATTAGAATTAGACTTAAATATAAATAAAGTCTCTAATTATAAGGGGTAGAATTAAGTCGAGACATTGGGAGGAAACAAAATTATGTGTACATTTTAATAAATAATGACACATCCGGGTTAGATGGCATAAGAGAACACTGCTGTAATTGTCTTATTGGTCGATGACACTGGGATGCTGTGCTCGTATAATGACTCCTAGTTTGGTATCTTAGATGCGAAAAGTCAACATGGAACTGAATTAGTATTATCACTACTACTTATATAATTATATTAAGATGGAAAAGTAATTATTCAGAGCAACAAAAATTTATTTTTTTTTGATGTCATTGTTCACAAAAAATAATTTTATTATCTTAAGTATAGAAAGTATGCATTTAGGCCACTTAGGCATTATTGACGGTGTTTACATATTTCAGACTGTAATACCTCTAACAATGCTACAGTTAAAAAAATACGACATAACCTCAAAAACATATTACACAATTACTCGATACTCCCAGCTTTTAAAAATATATTTAATGTCTTTCTTTGTTCTAGTTGATAGGCAAACAAAATAACATATGTTTCATCAAGTTACGTTTTATTCGATTTTACTAGTCCAAGCATGTTAGGCAGAGCCATTTTTTTGTATAAAAATACAATACAAAATTGATTGATTATACGTGTCTCAGATATTCTATTCTTATGTCATTTCGAAACTCACTTCACTAATGCTACGAAACGTGGTAATAACTTATTACCAATTCTAGGTTGAGCGAATGCCGATTTTGCAGTGAATTCAGATATGGATTCGGATTCAGATTTTTACAGAATCTCAGGGCTGGAATCGAACCTCAAAGATGACGACAACTTGAAACCAGCTGATGTACGTGCTACGTACTACAGAGGTTACATTATCAAGTATGTGAATACGTTTGTAACTTTTAACAGGCATTACGCGATAATCATCAGTTCGAGTTTTTACTGGGCCAGTTTGACTATATGTTGGGGCAACAGCCCGAGAAGATCGCTGAATTCAAGCAGGGCTTATTGGACTTCCTCAAAATTCATTGCCCTGGTGATACAGACACTTATATTATGGTCGCACTACACTTCAACATGTACGCGGAAGCTGCGAACGTTAAGAAGAAACAGGCGTTGTCTTTGATCGAAGATTTGGAGAAAATAGCGCTTGATGCAGTGAAAGCCACTTCGAAGAAACCTTTTCAACCGCCAACTTGGCTTCAGATACACGATAGTGTGATGACAAGGTAATATAGACCTTATCCATTGATGTTAGATTACATTTTACTGTTAACGAACTTTTCAATATTTGTCCAAGAAATCTTTAAAACATTAAAATTATAAATAGATTTGTCTGCGTAATAATATCTAAATGATTTGATTACTCCGTCGTACGGTGGCGCCAAAGATCTGTAATTTTTTTGCTCGGTAGCTCGATGGCGTAATGAATAAGAGCCGCGGCCCCAGAGGGTCAGTTACAGATGAGTGATCAAAATATATTATTTCGAGCTACTCCGTTCTTCGGAAAGCAAATTAAGACGTTAGTCCCGGCTGCATTTGCAGACGTTAATACCCTCAAATCCGCATTGGGCCAGCGTGGAGAGTCATGGCCCACGTCCATCCATGAGGAAGGTCTGAGCCCCTGCAGTGGGACATTTAAGAGCTGTTGATGATAGTTTTTTTTAATTTGCAAGTGAAATATAATTACAATGGAAATTCTTCTTATATCTTTTATGTCATAAAAAATATCGCACCCAACACAACTCGGAATGTGTTTCTATGCAAATGACATAGAAAAATATTCCGAATCGGGCGAACTATTGAAATGAGGATTTTGCGTGCATTCCGCGCGAGTATAAAAGTCATCAGTGTATACGTATTGTTTAACAAAAGTGAATGTAATGTAATGAAATCTAGTTCCAATTTAACCTTTTATCCAGGTCTTTATTGGAGACAGCGATAGAGCATTGCACGGATGCAGCCGAGTTGTACCTGCAAGGGGGATGCACGGGGTTCGCGGGCGAGATGGCAGCACTCGCGCAGCAAGTTGCTTTACAGATGTCGCTACTAAACGCCTCGCCTACTAGGCTCATACTGAACAGAACTACAGAACAGATGTACAAGCTTGTCAGCGAGTATCTAAGGTGAGTGTTCTATCTGAATTCGAAGCGAGTATCTAAAGTCCCCGTATTGTGGAGTATCTGAAATAACGAAGGTACCTTAACACCCAGACCCGAGGAAAAATTTACTATCTGGCGATGATGATAGATAAAAACCACAGGGTCAACTATTGGGATGGAGATACCCACAATGCCTGCGCCAGTGCACGTTTGATGGGCGGTAACAACTGTGGTGTAGACGTTATCAGAACCAAAATGGTTGAATACTTATTTTTCGCATGAAAGTTGGTTAATATCAATAATTCATTATTATTGTGTTGATTCAACATGTACTGACGAGTTGTCGTCCTCTAATAAAAAACGGGAAAGTTATAAAAATTCTATATAATTTCTCCGAATAAGGATTCATTCAGTTGATGAATCGTGAGCTAAAGGAGGCGAACTAATCGAATTTTCTTTACACTTTGCAAATAAGTAACATGTGATATGTTATTCTTATGTCTCGGCTCATACTTGTGTACGTAGGCTCGTATGTTATCATAAAAGCTCTTAAAGGCTTAAACCATTGACCGCATAAACAAAATGATCATGAGAGAAGAGAAAACTTCAAATTGAAAATGTGTACCTATTTTGGTCGAATAAAGGTTCAATATCGATTCCAGCTTTATGGAAGGTCTGGTACTTCTTGCGGGGCGCGGTGGGGAGGCGTGGCGGGAGCTAGCGTATCGGCGAGCAATCTCTAACGATCAAGCGTACTTACGGGACATGGCCGCCTATCGACCTGACGTAGCGCACCATTTCCTCGCCAGGTATTAGTGGTGTAGACAACTTTTTTTAAAAATTTTATTTATATATATTATGTAATATTTAATAAATTTTGCATTCACAATGTTATACTGAAAAAAAAATCTTAATATTTAATGCTTAAACAAAGTCCTGTTAGGTCATGGGTACCTCAGTGGTTAGAACAGTCGCCCGGGTTGCAAAAGGCCATCGGTTCTAGTCCCATCTCAGAGTGCCAGGGGCAAAGTGGATTTTTTAAGCATTTTTTCATTGGGAATATCTAAAAATAAATTTAATTCTCAAAATTTCCCGCGAAAACGTCACTTCTGACATGACGTCGCTATGACGTCACGGTATTTTGGAATAAAGTACATAGTCGTATCGTACAGCATTAAATTACACTCTACAGTTATAAAGCTACAAAGTATAAAATGTATTTGAAATTAATTTCCGTTTGAAAATGATAAAACTAGGAACAGTATAAAGTGTGAAACTAGTAAAAAATATATTGTTAACGGTATGTCTCTCTTTCTCCAGATACAAATCAGAAAAGAACAGAACAACGGTATCGAATGCTGCTATGACGGAATTGCGAAACCTTTGCAGATGATACAGATCAAATTATTTATATTTTGAAAAGATCTCAATATCCATGATCACTTTGCTAAAATAAGTCGGAAAGTAAAGATTTTAAGTATATATACTTCACAATGCTGCATGCCAAATTATCTATGTGTAATAATTATTTGTGTAATACTTGAATTTTTGTATATTGTATTTAGAAATTATGTATATAAAAATATTTTATACTGAGTTAAATTCATTGACATTAATACTCTTTTCAATATTTTGCTGTGATATCAAATATAATGTGACTGATAAAATGTATTTTTATATTATTTATAGTATAAGTAAAATAAAAAATCAATATCAACTTGTATATTCTTTTAATTTAATAAAAAGTCTTGATCAATATAGATTTAAAAGCACATATTAAATTATATAGAAAATATATTTTCTTAAAAATAATATCAATTATTTACTCTTACATATTAGAGAAGAATATAAACGTTTTTTATAAGACTAAACTTATACGAGATTAAATATTAAAGCAGTTTCAAAATCGTTGATCGGTATAGTCCTATCACACCTTAAGACGATGGAATGAAAGCACCACAAGAAATATATACTTTAGTACGTTACGTTAAAGTTGTACAAATCACGACTAACAAAACGTGTCAAAATGACGCGGTCATCGAACATGGCGTGCACGCATTAATCGTATACGTATGCAGCTTTTAGTTTAATTTACACAATTATTAGGATTTGTTAGTATAATCATTCCCTATAAAAAAGGTATTTATTTTAAATTATAACACTAAAATATGCAAAAAGCTGCTGTACATATTTCATTAAAAAATATATTTTCTGGAAACTGCTAAGTTTTCGTGATAGGTTTACTATCCAAAACGCGACTTAGTAGAGAGGGTTAGGCATTTTATACAATATTGAAAATCAGATACATCGTCTACAATATTATCAGTTTCGTATTAATATATAAATTTAAACGATACTTTGTCATTCCATACAAAATGGAAAAAAATCAATCTCCAAAATGACCCACGTTTATATCTTAAGTGTAAATTGTCAAAGCACATGCACACAATTAAATAAATAGTGACTCAAGGAGTATTGGTTCGCATACGACTTCGTATTATATAAATTGTCGTAAATGCTGGTTGTACTTGCTGTAAATTAAGATTTGTACTGCACTACTGGCGCATTTCGATGGTGGTGGCTAAATACTATAGATATATTATTTTTCATATGTGAAATCGTTAATCGTTTTTACATGTCCACCTCTGAATTTACTAATTAATGCATGCAAGAATATGTCTTCTTCGTGAATGCTTTTGCTTCGTCAATATCCGTCGTAAAATTGTGGATAAACATGGTGAGTATTCAATTAACGTATCCAGCTAAACTGTTAATTATACTTGCCCTAATTTAATCGCCTAAATTAAAACTACCTATTGTATTTAGGTGTTAAATTTAGTAATTTACAATCATGTTTATTTTTATTTTAATATACTAACTGATGTTATTCTTAGTTACATACATATGAATTTAGGAATTGAAACATTTGGACGACTAACTACGGTCAAGTGTAATAAGCTCTTTTAAACATATACTATACAACCAATTGGGTATTTTAATGATTTGGGAGACTAAAGTTTAAATATTGTTGTGCCTAATAAATGCTAATATTTTGAACAATTTTACAACGTACATGCTTATAATTTAATTTACTTTCCACAGCCGATAATTTGTTAATATTATAGATTAATTTGTATAATTATTATAGTTATAAATCACTATGATTACAATATATAATGTTTTTTGTATATACAATTCATTCTTGAACCAATTTTAATGTAGGTATAACTGCTAACAAAGCAAAGTTCGTTATGTCATGGTATTGGAAATTATTATGTACTGTTTACGAGATTTATTAACTGATATGACACTTGTGAGATTGCACTTATGCTTCATAAAGAGACATTGGAAACTGTTACTCGTCATTCGCTTCACCCCCATAGTGATGTGGTAGGTTTAGTTGTCATTCGTGGTACTCCCATGCTAAACACAGTACCATTCGTCGTAAGGTTAGTACTTTTATTCGCCATTCATGGTCTTTGCACACACATTGACGCAGTACTTTTATTCACCTCCACGGTCCTAGTACTTAATGACGCAGTACTCGCGATCCATGGTCCTCCTTCGTTCGACGATTTTATTCGTAACTTGTGATACTATTTCCGCTTTCTCGAAACTTTCTCGGTTGATTTTTACGTTGTCCTATCAACAGTGACTGTATGCGGCACGCATTCGTCTAAAACTATCTTGATGGGTTCCAGAACGTTCTCAGGCATGTGATCTAAGAGCATCCGTGGCATCACGACCAGTTCATTGAAGTCTTCCATTTTTGCCCACCCCACTTTATATCGGGGCTCCTTGCGACCGCTTCTAAATTAATATTAAAAATAGGTAAGTTGTCATATTTGTATATACAGAATATTAAAGTAAGTAGATATTTTTAAACACAATATTTTCAATAGATTTCTTAAAAATCATAATGAATAAAATAATTACCTTTCAACACATATAGACTTGCATGGTACTATGTGGAGAATGCGGCCTGCTATGTGTAACCGTTCCAATTCCTGTAAAACGTAATATGTATTATAAAAAGTACACCCCTTAATATATTAAGTCATAAGTGTTATTATAGTAAGCTTATTTGAGTTCAAAGTGAATGAATCATTATGTTTAAAGAGACGAGACTCCCTTAAAACGCTTTTAACATGCAACAACAGCGTTTAAAACGCACTCTACCGACCTAACGATGTGAATTTGTCTATTTATAAACTTAAATTACTCAAAATCTTTAGGGCGTTTATTACTACGGAGTTGCGACAGCTTGATTAGAGATATTTTAATTTCAATAAATAATTTATGTAGGTATTGTACATTCTATATCTAATATATGCACAAGTCATCATTCAATGTGTTTGTTGCTTTTAAAAAACTTGTGATGAAGGTAGGTATGCCAATTTTTTCCTATTATTTTTTTTATTTCTTTTTAATTTTAAAAATAAAAGAATGCTAATAGAAATATGTCATTAAAATTATATTATTTGGTTTTAATGATACATACATAAGAGATTGTCCTTGTAAGTCGGGTTGGCCCTATGAGTTGAGCTTCTATATTATCAGGAGATTTCCAAATAGTTTCCAGGTCTTCATCAGGTATCGTGAACAACATATACCGTAGTCCCTTTAGTAATATACGATACTAAAATGGAACAAATTCAAACGTTAATAACTATTTTTAAAAATCAAAATGCGTAAAAATAATATTGTACAAATGCTATTTTTCTTATATGAAAAATGAAATTAAAAGCTTTATGGCAAATCACAAAAACATTTAGGGCGTTTACGACAACTTATTCTATAATTCTTGAAGTTTATTTAATAATTAAATTTGTTTTCATTTAATCCAGAATCCAGCTTTAAAGTTTTGAGGACTCGGTGTAATCATAATACATCATGCAGCACGTCAGGTTACTATAATTTGTCATTCCGGGTTTGATTTTTAATTCTCCCCATAATGCATTAAGGTTTAAAATTACACGACATATTAACTGGACTATCCGATGTATGTAAAGGAATAACTTAACTGTCTTTCATGAGGTTAAAAGATATCAGAGTCTATAAATTAAATAAAAAACTAGAATTGAAGCTCTACTGTCTCAGTAATAGGAAATACTCATTTTTTGTTAACGCAATGCACATTAGGCCTTCAAACAGGGCTCTCCAAAGAGTAACAGGAAATACCTACCCTACAATAAGCGTCCTCTTATCTTGTTAAACATATGTTTTTAAATATTTTTTAAAGTGTCGTTAACGTTCTTCATAGAGTAATAAGCGTTACCTTTGGCAGTTTTGCCATATGTATTGTCTCTATAATCCTATCGCGGAAAGCCTGCATACTTTTCAGGCTTAGTCTCATAACTAGATCATCTCCAACACCGACTGTCATCACAAAGTCTTCAGTGTACCGTGCTGCCTCACGAGTTAACAACCCAGCTGAATGAAAATAATATTAGTATAATAGATGACAAATATTTACAAAGCGACATACCTACAACGTTAAAAATTTTATGTTTAGGAATACTATATCCTGTAGTTTGAATAAATCTGTTCACTTTCTCTTTAGGCTATTGATAATATAGAATAATGCATTAAGCTAATATGTAAATGTATGTTATGGTAAAACACCTTAACGCGTATTCAAGAAACACTAGCAATTGTAATATCGACAGTTCGTTCAGCTACTATAGAAAGCCACTCCAATCCTAATTCAAAGTTAAGCACGACTCCAACTATACTTAAACAGATTTTAGTTATTGATTTAAGTTATTTTCATGATCAGTTGATAGCAGTTTGATAAAAACTAGGACTTTATGAAAAGCCAATAATCTAATATTTTACTTGAAAAGTAAAATATTAGATTATTGGCATTAATCAGTTGAGAATTTGTAATTTTCTTAATACAGTAACAGGCTGTTTATCTGTCGATAGTTTAAGTTTAATATGATCTTTGTGGTATGGTGGTGCTGCTGTGTGTACACTTAAGGATTTCTGCAGACGAGCGATAATGTATCGGTGACGGTTCTTCAACGGTCAGAGCATCTCGCCAACTGCCGCCTTAAGGTTGAGAACTGTGGAAATCGTCTTGGAATCGTAAAAGATCGGCCACTGTCACTGATAGATTGTCGCTCGTTTGTATGAGCCCCATCTCAGTGGAGGTTTCTACTTACATGGTGCTGAAAATGCGTACACTTTTAGATGTGGATATTTATGTTTTAATTTTATTCCCAACAATGTTGATACTGCTGCCCCTAAACTATGACCTGGAAATAATTTTAAAAACTTGCTTTATAAATATATTTATAATTTTATAACATTTTATACAAATTTATAATTTTTGAAAATTCGAGTGATAGATGTTAGTTACTGTGAATTAAAAACTAGATAAGTATAAAACTACATAACATGAAATCGGGAAAAATTCTCATTTGTTCGTGCATTTCGTTAACTTATGGAAATCGATAGCAAACATAGACGCAATTAAAAAAAGTACATTTCATATTGGAACAAAATATGTAGTAGAATTTTGAGTGTTATTAGGCTTTTAAAAATTGTGGGCTAGAAAACCCAAATGATAAGAATAGACGGCACTGCCCTAAGCATTCCTCGGTTGATATCTAAAAAAATTTGACGAAAACTATTTTTATTTTACCTGTAATCACAAGTTCATAGTCAGGATATTCTGCGAAGGAGCTTTCTAGAATAGGAGTAACTCGTTCCAGGGTCTTTTCAGTACTCAACACCATTCCTTTATGAGCGAGTGTGTTTTCTGGTAATCCTATTAAAAGGGACCTATTATAAGAGTGTACGTGATTTACACCTGGTTTCAGAATTGAGAATTTAAAGTTAAGAACGTCTCAAACTGCACTTAAACATAATTTTTAACAGGTTTTTGTTTCTGATTATAGCTTATTTAATGATGGGTTATAGCATCTTGATAAAACTGAATTTTTCTGACTCGTGAAACGTAAAAAACTTAAGTTATTGGAATAATCAGTTGAGGTTTTGTACCTTTCTCAATTCAGAAACCGGCAGCTAGAGTAGGTGTGTGTGATGACGGTTGTAAGCTTAATAAGATCCAAGCGACGATATCAGAAAAACATGATTTTATTTTATTATTTTTAGTAATACTTTTATAGGTACTTAATATAAATTATATTTACAACGAACGCACTTATATGCACGACCTAACCATGAAGACCTACTTGCATAAAAATAATATACTAATGTTAATACCACTGTTAATACTCTCCAATCCGCACTGATCCAGCATGGAGGGTCATGGCCCATCCTCCTTAGCCATCCATAAAGTAATATAAAGGGATATAATAGGGCTGATGGTAATGATGAAAATATTTACCTTCAGCTTCAAACTTCTCAGATGGAGCAGTTAAGTCAGTGAACATGTCGTGTAATGATATGGAGCCACGTATCACCACTACGATACTCTTGCGATCGTGCTCCGCCAACACCATAAATGGTACCTGTCGAAATAATAAATGTTATAATATTTGATGTAGTTTAAAATTATATACTAATATCATATTAAAAACAAAGACAATCGGTACCTTCGTTTTAAGTAAACCGGAACCTGTAATGGGACTGAAACGTTATAAAAGTAAATGTAAACGCGCTGAAACCGTTTTAAGTAGTTTAAAACGTTTAATTTCTAAGTGTATATGTATTCAAGATTAATTCAATTAAATTTATTTCCAGTTTTCGACAAATTCTGATTAGAAAGACGAGAAGTTTTCTCAGGTTGTGAGAATTTCTATCCCTGACATAGGTCGGGGAAAAAGTCTTCGCATATAGCATGCACTAACTTGTAAATAAAATCCTTCTGGCTATACCATTTGTTTCTGACTGCTTTCGGTAGATATCATTAAAAAGTAAAAATTTTAAAGATAAGAAGTTGAGAGAAAGACATCACGCGAGGACTGCCAAAACCGCTTGCCGCGGTTTTTTAATCAGAAGCCCCGAAATTTCTATAGCAAGGGGATCATGTCCCTACCTACAAGCTGGCGAAATGTTATCTAATAAAATGGTAACTACATACTTTAGTTAAATGTAAATGAACTTTACTAAAAAATGTTTAGATTTTCACATTTTCCCAACTGTTTTATAATATAGGTAATAATACAAAAGATACAAAACTGACAAACACTCAGATTAAAGGGAGTCAGTCTCTTTACTCCTCGACAGTTAGACTCCTAAGTAGGACCATAAAAACCTGGTTTTATATCGTTGGACCCAGCTGCATCTGCAGTCTTCAACACTGGGCTCGAATGGTGGGTCATAACCCATTCTCCCTATTCGATTTGATTCGATTCCATCCACAGGGAAGGCCTGAGCCCCAGCAGTGAGGACATTAATAGGCGGGAGATGGTGATGACGAATAAGGTCAGAATAAGCTACTTTTTAAGTTGTTTTAAACTTTCATGGTCATTATTATCAGGAACTCGTAAAATATTCTATAAGGTTTAAGCGTTTTCAGCAATAATTTTGATGTTACGTTTTATGCTCAAAATATTATATTAGACTATAGAATGTTAGTCGGATTTCCTTCCTGTGTTATTAAAATCCATTATATTAGGTTTACATATGAAATTGGCGTTTTGTCGTACTGGCCACTTTAATCACAAACTCCTCTTTGGTTGGAAATTCCAAATTCAAATTTATACAGCCATTTACACATGTATTTGTGTTTCGCTAGGCGGCATTCATTTGTTTTTTTTTCTTCTGTTTATCCTATTTACGTCACTCAATATAAAAAATAGAAAACTTGAAATATCGTGTTATTTATGAGTACTAGTTCTACCGTGGTACCAGTGCTGCGGAAACGGCTCGAAGGGTTAATTATGTGTATGGCGGTTGTGTCGCAAAAGAATACACAGTGTGTTTTTGGTTCTAACGTTTTCGTTCTGGAAATTTTTAACCGGCACAATAATTAAGGGTTTTTAAATCGAATCATTATCTGTAATGAAAAGTGGATTCTCTACGATGATCAGAAGCGCTTATCGCAATGGTTGGACCCTGGCATGCTAGCCAAATCCTGCCCCAAGCGAAAATTGACCTCAAAATAGTTAGTTGTAAGCGTTTGGTGGACTAGTGCCGGTGTCGTTCATTACAGTTTTCTCAAATCTGGTCAGACGATTACGGCAGACGTCCATTGTCAGCAATTGCAAACCATGCTGGAAAACTAGCTGTTAAACAATCGAGGCTGGTCAATCGCTCTACGCCACTGCTACTTCACGACAACTCTAGACCACACACTGGCAACAGACGGCTGCCAAATTAGAAGAGCTTCTATTGGAATGTGTAAGACATCCACCGTACTCCCAGGACCTTGCACCTACAGATTTTTTCAAAATTTGGAAAAAAATCAACTTCGATGTGGCAGTGCACATCGCCTTCAAAGATTTTATTGATTCCCGTCCGAATGGTTTTTTTAGTAAGGGGATCAATAAACTATCTATGTGATGGCAAAAATGCATAGATAACAATGTTTTATACTTTGATTAAATAAATATATTATATTAAATATATTCGACTTTTTCCTCCTTTTCCTCTCATACCAAACGCCAATTTCATATGCAAGGACCTAATATTTTATGATTACCTCGTATATGTGATTCACGAATGAAACATAAATGAAGTCCTTGTCAGTACTATCAGATAGGTATTTGAGACCGGCGTAGTTGCACATACAACAGTTGTCCCCGTCGACATGCTTGGGCCTATAGGAGATAATAAGTACATCGCACGTGGTAATCAACAATAACATACTTAAGTACAGTAAATGGTAAGTATTATCGGGCGAGACCAGGATACCATATAATTTGGCAAAAAATTGTGATATATAAATAGAAACTCAGTTTATTGTGTGCAGCCTTATGGGGAGCATAATCAGAATCACTGCGTGACTTAACTTCTTAAAAAAAAAAGAGAAAAAAGTTCCAACTATGGCGCATGGTGAATGTTCTTTTGCGCAGTGTAGATCTATGAACACGTTATTAAAACTTATAGTGAGTCTTCTTTCAATAATGTAGAATATAACGCATTAGGTTTCCGTCTTACATACAGTGGGGGGAAGGAGGGGAATCGAATCTGTCATATATAGAAAATAAAGATATAAGATGAAAGTATGCTAGTGCTACTTACCGATAACAACACCTCAGATAAGGCGCCAAGAAACAAATACCAGCGCAATAAAATCTATACAGCACATAAGTCCAACCGTATGCTGACATAGCGAGTTTCATATAATGGCATGCATCTACCATATTCATCCAACTAGGTACATCTTTGTATAATTTGTTCAGATCTGTCGTATATATTTCTTCAACAGAATCTACTGTGTCACTCACACGTCTGCTTCTAGTGTCACGTTTCTGTCGAACCCTCAACAGAATGGATCCAGCTATCATATCGTAGAGTACAATGTCAGTAGACCTGAAAAGAACACTGAGTAGAACTGAAAGCAAACAGAAGAAATAATACATTCAGAACCATATTGTAAGAATTCCCATAGACAAGATGATATTAGCTGTAAATTTCTTTTATCGTTATTTATTATATACTAGCATTCCGTCAGCGCCTCTTGAATAAGTCCATATATTGTCGAACACCATGTAGTTTAAAAAACTTAAGCGTACAGATAGCGGGAAGCAACTTTGTTTTATACTTATTTTATTTTTATTGCATATTTTCTGAGGACAGAGGAAGGAAAACAGAGGAGGTATGCTGAAATACGGGTATCAAGCAAGTTCAGCAACAGTTGATAAATAAATATTAATGAAAAGTATTTTAGAATCACTGGTGTTAAAATTCATTATATCGATTATATAGTCAATAAAGATTAAAAATAATATACTATGTATAGATGCAAATGGAACTTTGTATTTGTAGTTTAAGGAAATGGCCGATTTTGCCATATGATATTGCTTCTCGTTAAGAAATATAGTTTATTTGTTTCATCTACATCATCATCATAATACACAATCTAGTAACACCCGGTTTCTGAATTGAGTATTTAAAGTTAACTTTTTCAAACAATTCTTAAATAAGTTTACGTTTCTGATTATAGTTTCGATAGCAGTTTGATAAAACTAGAACTTTTGCCTTGTGAAAAGTAAAAAAACCTCATTTATCGAGAATAATCAGTTGAGAAAATCTCACTTTTCTCGATTCAGAAACCGGCCGTAAATATTGAGTATATGTTTCAAGAGTACGAGTTAAGATTTGTTAAAAATTGAGATCGTCATTGGATTGGATTGAAATTGACATTGAGATTGAGATTGTGTTCAAGAGTAAGCCTAATGATCGTTTGGTCAATAGTCAATCTTGTGGGGGGCCTGCCTACGCTCCGTTTTTATTTGTTTGCTTACAATCAAGTTGAAATTATACAGCGATTTTTGGATTTGGTGCCTCTGAAATTATTTTTCTCTTATTATAATGGTATATTAGGTTGTTACCTGCCATTTCCTTAACGGCGTCCTTCATTTTTTTGTCTTTGAAGTACCAAAATGTCCATTGAACTCTGCTCGCCCATATTTTTGTAGATTTCTTATTATAGTAGTCCCTCTCTTCGTCAGTACGAATATCTTCAAATTCAATGTTTCCCAATGGATCGTACGCCAGATATATAGCCAGAAATGTGAATAGAAACGGTATCCACATAAGTATTAATAAAACTGTAAATAAATATACACCCAATTTTTACAAGACAAGCCTTTATATGTTGTTCATATTTAGGTATGCACAAATAAGCCGTACCAAAACATAGTGATTGATCGATTGACTTTAAATAATAACTTTACATTAATTACCCTCGATCACGATATTTACGATACGACAAAGTTTATTGAGAATATTTTTGAATCTATCCAGGACCGTATTACACCTATTAGGAGCCCTGAGCACATTAGGATAATGCGGCTCCTATTAAAGAGATAAAGATATGTATGCAAAGTTTGAGCATTATTTTTATTTCTCTACAGTAACATTAGTAATTATGATAAAGAGATAATAATATAATGTGATTCGCACTAAGTAACTAGCATCCACGGATGTGAACACCTTGAACTTAGATAAGCTATAGAAGGAAGCTGATAGAAATATAAAACAAAATATTGATTGCGTATAAATCAAAATTTATTAGGATTACAATGATTATTCACCGAAATTACGTAAACTCACTTATAATGTGTAAAATCAAGTACGGTCCGAAACAATTTTGAAATCAAAGCTATCCGTTTTGACCAACTCTCCGGCTACAGTGCTAAAATTATTAGCGAAAAATAAATTAACGAAGTAAAATTATGAATGATATAAATAGAAATTATTGCAGTTATTACGATACGTCTTTCCTCATTCACCGGATATAGGTTACAGGAATCGCGATAGGTTATTGTAATTGTTTGTTTATAGATTGCATTAAGTACAACATTCAAAATATAAATTGTTTGTAATATCAAATAATATTTTGTTGGATTTTACATTTGTGGTATTGATTTTAATTGCCTGATTATTTTTTGCAATAGTACATTATCGTAGTATAGTCTATATACTAGCTTTCAATATATAAATAAATGAAAAGAATAAAGTCACCGATGTAAGCATCGACAATTACTTAAGAGTAATTAGTAATTGTTATTAGTTTTCTACTCGGTACATACATCTTTAATAAACACAGGGATGCTGGACGCAAAGCGCATTCTTTTAGGTCAGTTAAAAAAAGGTTTAAGTCCCTCGTAACGAGTAGCAAGTGTTAAGCGGCGGACATTGCACTTTAGTTACCGGTTCGGGAAGAAAAGGGCGTATAAATTGTACACAAAAGTGTGTAGGATGTTAATAAAAAGGAACAAGAAGTTGAATGACATTACCTACATACATTTACCTAACCCTCAGTTAAAAGTAAAATTTTAGTCGAGAAGGAAAAAGATATCTTGACTATAATTGCCTATCCCAAAAACAAAGAACATCGAAGGTATTATGAAACCATTTTAAATGGAACAGAACTTATAATAAATGTTTTATATGTTGATTTTGTTATTCGAGTATTTGGTACTTAATGTTTTGAATTATTATTTTTATGTCATATGATTTCTTTCTTCTTTCTTTTTGTGGATGGACCAAAATAGAATTGTAACTTAGAACCTTATTTAAAATATATTATGCGAGGCGTTTAAATCCTAATTCAAGTTAATGATAATTGGAGTTTGAGTTTTCTTTAAACTGATAGTTAATACGCAAGTGTATTAATTGATAAATAAAACACTTATATTTTTTTTGCATTAAAAGATTATATTATATAATCGTTTTTCTATAAAAAAAAATGTTTATGAAGATGAGGTAATATTTTAATCAATTTAGTTTTGGTACTTAAGAGTCTATTTTATTTCCAGTATGTGACTACAGATTAACTTAAAACAAAGAAAAATCAAAATAAGTTTTTTTAGTTGAGTGTCTAAAGAAAATGGTACAACAGAATAGGAACGATGCCTGTGTAAAAATAAAAATATTCTATTTATTCTTTCAGTCAGATAATGCAAAAATATTTGATACTTACGAACCTTCTTGCTTTAATTTGTTAAATAAAAACAAAAAAGTGGCAAATGCCTATTGCATGCCAAGTTGAGGAGTGGGGGCTGGTTACGTTATAACCACAGAAGACAATGTCATAGCCACGTAGAAAATGCACAAAGGTGTAACGTCATGCGATACTTAGACTCAATTTGTCGCCCTTATTAATTGATTAAGCAAAAAATAAATAATAAGCATTGAATATTTTTCAATAATTACTCGACGGACAGACAAATTAAAATTAGTCATCATACCTATTGGCTCTAGTATTAAACAAAATCTCGTTTAAACAATATATAAGTTTAGTGTAAAACTGTAAAATAATATATATATTTTTTTAAATAAAAACTTACTCTGCATAATGACATTGGGAAAAGGCTTCAAGTTGCACAATGTATTTACGATGAAGATCCACCAAATACCCAACAGATTTAGTATTATCTCCATCACCATAATAAATAATCTGTAACAAAAAACTACTTTGATATTCTGTGTATTTTAGTTTTGATCTACTGAGTATACAAGTTACTAACATTATGCGAATTAATAATATGCAAAAATATGCCTTAAAGACAATTTAGGCCAATAATACAAAAAAACAATTAAGGAAAAGGTGGAAAAGTATAACTATGTCAAAACCAAATTATGCCAAAGTATATTGGGAATAAGAAAATGCATAAAGAAGCGATCCCGACCGCGAACACTTATCAGTATCACAGTCAGTAGGTAGATCTATTCATATATATTATGTCAATACAACACACAGAAAGATCTTTATTCTGTCTGCCCTTGCGTTATCCTTTGCTGGATCGTGTCTGGTATTAGCAATTAGGTCTATTCGAAACAAGTATTCGAAAAACAAATGGTAGCTACTAAAACATTATTTATTATAGGCAGAAAAAATTTCAATTTTAATTTTAAGTTCGACAAATGGAGGTTTATAATGGAATGGCTAAGTTTGGAATTTTGAAGTCAATCCACAACATAAGTTTTAATCTGGCCCTGAACTAGAAACGAAATTAGATATAATCTCGTGGCTAGTTACGTTCTCTATCCTGTTCTAACTTATGTATTTTAATGACGTAGAATAGGAAAGAATTCGATGAAGTAGATGAAATATCAAAATATTAAGAGTAAAACTACTGTTAACTTTTTGCAGTAATTTGATATGTTGCTTTATGTACGTCTCAATTAGGGTTGTCGACCGTACAATAAAAATAGAATATTGTAATCTTTACCATGAAGGCGTACTCTATATTCTAAAATTAGTGAACGCTAACATAATATTTTCACTCTATAGGTTGCACACTTATTAATCGAAACAAAAAAAAAATACAAAAATTACCTTTTTTAAAATGTTAAATAAATAATACTCTTTTTTATTTGTCTCCTTTGAAATCAAAAATAGAGCAGATAACCCAGTTTTGGCCATTTAAAGATTATGAGCTAGTTTTGGCCACGTTGAGAGTTACGACGAAGTGAACTTTTATATATATTATTTATTTTATGCAATTAGTTTTGCCATAATGGAACATTTTAAAAACCGTAACCGTTACCGTTAGTTAGTCCTATTCTATTTCTTCAAATAATAGTTGGCAACCTTACTCTCAATATCACTTACTTGCACAATAGTAGAGGTCCTACATATTTTCTCTTGTCAATCTCCGTCATAGAGCCTCGCGCCGACTGCTGTGCCATTACAGCCAGTATTATTATAGTTAATGCTTGTATCGATATCATTATAATAATGTCCAGCCTTGCCGATGTGTTGAATGCACACGATACAGGCAAATCGTTGCTTGCCACAATAGACAACATTACTATCCTGTTATAAAAATGCATAAAAATAAATAAAACCAACTTCTTTATAGCTTAAGACTATCCTTGTCTATCTCATTGCATAGACGAAAGATAGCGTGTATTTAACTATATTTAATTAATCAGGTAACTAAGTATTTTTGAATATACCTAGAACTAGGTTACGAAGTGACTTAAATATTTATTATTTTTTCCATAGAAAAGAAGAGTATAATTAAGAGAAGAATTCGAAAAATGGACTATTTTAGGGGTAACTATGTGATATTTTCTATGGAGAAAATTATATCAATTTGCGTTTTGAGTAAAATAAAACCCTAAGAAATATTATGTGTTTTTCTCATATTTAATTAGAGCTTAAGTAATTATATTTGGAGGTTGTTTCTTAGAACAAAACTAATTAAAAAATAATAGTAATTATTGGTGGAAGTGCTGAGTGATTGATTAGGTTACCGGTTCATTCATTCAAGAAATTTCTAACGAAGTCGGAGAGATGTTAATATTATTATCAATACTAATACTTCGAGCTTTTATAGTAACATATACCTACATAAATGTTTGTACACTAAGATTCTGGACGACGGAAAATCCTATGATCTACAAATAAATCGGTTTTGCAACTTAAAATATTACTTATACGTATCTATTTTGGGATCATTCTTTATTTAAATATGTAATCATCGTTGTAGTAAAAACTGGGTACCATTAGAATACATTATCTTTATAAGAGTATCTCAAAGTGCTTCGCAAAACACATGTAGGAGTTTTCGTGAACTATATTATTTTTATTTCGGCAAATAACCAAAGTTAAAATAAGTAATCTTTTAATAGGAAAGCACTACAAAAAATGAATCTTTTTGACTGATTTATAAAAGTCTATAAAAGAAGTTTATAAAAGAAGCTTCATAATACTCGAGGGACATAGGCTATAATTGACGCAGGCGAAGTTGCGGGGAAATAGCTAGTTTTATAGAAATAACTTTATAATTCAAGAGGAACTCAATGAACATATACTCATATCATGTCTTATATATCTGATATAAAATGTAAACTACAGATTTCATTTCGATAATATTTAAATAGGACCTTCTCAGTCCACTAAGTTGTCGTATAAAAAAGAACTATATTTGAAAGAACAATATAAAAAAGAACAATTGGCGGAAATATCGATGAACACACAAAAAACCATACATCGCCGTCGAACATTTATAACCTCCTTCTTTTCGATTTCGAGTCAGTTAAAAACTAAAGTTTATTTATTTTAGAGCTCGATGTAAATATTTGGCTTCCAAAACGATCAATCGCCAATAAAGTTCGATAAGCACTGATCTCATCGAAATCAATAGAGTATATATACTTAGTTATAGCCGGTGATTAGGTGGCATAAGATGGGATCAACAGTCCAAAAAAACGCTGCCGCTAATTTGAGTTACATTTTCAGTAATGTCATTACCGGCCATTAACGGTGTATAAAATTAAATCTTTTGAACTTTAAACCTATAATGAAGCCTTTTAACATTATTCCAATGCTACAGTCGGTGGTTTTGGAATATTTCATCATCAGCCGTAAGCCGGCGGTTGAAATATTTATTAAAAAAACATAAATTAGAAAGCAATTTCGCGTGTTATTGTTTTACAATACACAGTCTACATATTTTTCTCAAATATCATACAAATACACGATGAAGTAAAGTCAGTTAACTAGTTTAGGTACTATCTATTGTCTATCTATATATTTTCAAACTTTTCCGGAAATAATTTTTTTCGCGTATAACTTGACATAAATTTATATGTTGACAAGAGGTGGCAATTAGTTCATTGTTTTAGTAAGGGACTTTGAGAAATTTTTGGGAATATTAAAAAAAAAATACCATATTATTCTAACTGGAATTTCGGCTATACAAGGAAAAACCAAATCGTCAGATGCGAAAAGCCACCTTCGACCGAGAAGCCGCAACGCCGGCATCCTGTAATAAGTAAAATAAAAAAAAACTAATTAAACACTAACCGCCTTAGCATAATGCAGTGTATAAGCATTGTATAGTAACATAGTTAAGTAAGTACCAGATAAAAAAATAAAAATTTCGGATTGGAGTGTGATCAGGAAAATTTTAAAAATTCTTTTGAAAAGTCCTGAGATTGTGTCGAAATTTGAAAGAAAAAACAAAAGCTCATTGAAAACTGTTTTACTAAGGGTGAATGTTATATCTAAATCTTTTAAAAAACTTAGCAATAAATTATTTGAAAACTCAAAAACTCCGCAGATTTTTAAAGTCCGGACGCACTACCGAAAAAATTGAAAGAGTCTAAATATCGTGAAATATTAGAATAAAGTATGAGATATGGTTGACTTATCTGGGGGCTAAGTTTGCATGAACAAGTAATGTAGTTTGATGCAAAATTTACAAATTTGTTTTTAATTAAAATTAAAAATAGGCTCTTAATAATATTGTTACATAAGTATCCATACACAAATATTATAAAGTAATTAGGAAGACTTAAAAATAAGGACAACATTGACTACTTGTTTATAAGGCTATGTATTTTTTGATTAAATTTACTGAAAACAAAAGACGCCTGTAGCTAATAATTAATACCAACTTAAACATTATTTTTGTACATCAAAACGAGAAATAAGTAGATATTACCTGTAGATAGAAATAGAAAGTAGATAGAAATGAATAGATAGGTAAGTAGTATTCGATTGAGGATTATGGATTCGATTTTTGGTAGGGTCAATGTAGAAAATGATCTTTTCTATATTGTGTCGGGTCTGGTTGTTGTGGTGCCTTCGCTGTTTCATATTTCCATTACAAGTGTTTTAACTACATAATTCAAGCAATGTATGTGATTATGTCTATTATTTATATTTTAGTTTTAGAGTTGGTTTAAAATTATCACGAGTAATTTAAAGTTAATATTATGCGTCTTTGTCTGTGTATTATTCTCAATAATATCATCATAAAGCTGAAATCAAAGGTTTTGTTTCAAAAAGTCTTAAAACACCAAGTGTCTATGATATTTTTGAGATTAATAATACTTCGTTGAATGTTAAGTGTACCTATTATTGTAACTTTGTACTAAATCTACTTACCTTTATCTTTAATAACGCGCTTAAAATAAACTTAAATTTTGCTTTAATAACATTACTGTTCACAAACCATTACTGCATTGTAATCACTACAAACTTTATTTACGATAAAATATTTCTCAAATGTGCTTAAAAAACAAACCGACCGGCTAGTCTCGTCTAGACGTACTGAAGGTATATGTGTATGTGGAGGTTATATGCTCTCTTCATCACCCAGTAGGTTAGAAAGAGATAGATAATTTGGCACCGATCCATAGCCGGTGACTTCATTTGATACAAACGGAGACTCGCACGAGACACAGTAAACATTAGAATTAAAAGCGGCAATATTTTTACGTAATGCCGGTAGTCCTACTTTACTATCGATTATTATTTTATATACATATTTGTGAATGAGTGATATCGAGATTTACAATGTCAACTTGATTTGTAGTTAACTGAATGCTTATACACAAAGATAGTAATCGATGAGTTGTAACAGTTCGCTACATCTTTAGATATCTATAAGTATAAAAAGTAGGTAGGATTTATAAAAAAATGATTATAATTAAATTAATTTCTGTGGTAAGTAAATAAGCTGTAAAAGTCTCAGTGTGTCACGAATTTTGTAGTTTTCCCTGTCTCTACTTATTAATTTTTTTCCTAAACATTTGATTCAATTTATATATGTTATACGTTTTCAAATTATCTTGAGAAACTAAAAATAACAAAGTATCAACGATTGCGGGAAGTGCGCCGTGAAATGATTACTAATCGCTAGGTATCAATATTTAAGACGAAATCCGTTATGCATTCTAATGAACTATGCACTAAAATAGTTTTATCAAAACCTCATAGATATTTAGTGTTTTGCATTAATATCACCAGATTTCGATTCTTTAACAAGATAAACAAAGGTTTATTCTTTAGAATGGAAATTATTTTAGTTCTGTTGTCTGTCCAATTCTAGACCTGATTCCAACCCAGTCTACTTACGGATGATCTTGTTATGTTGGAGTTGGATATGTCACATAAAAAATAGTCTAAGTTAAAACATAAAAAAGTGACTCATATAAGTAATTTAGTCGGAAAAGCTAAGATCGAAAGAAACAAAACTTATACAAGTTAGAATTATATATTCCTAAGTGGTAAAAATAAATTTGTATGTGGTGTTACTAACAAATACTTACACATTTCGAATAAAAAAAAAAACAAAACCGACTTCAAAACGTAAAAATAGTACTCATATTAAAGGCCGTTCATACGTTCATGAAACTTCTATTGAATTTGGACGGCAGTTTTCTGTGGGTTCTTAATATGAATGAATAAAAAGTAACTAAAATATTAAAAACCTAACAAAACCAGTGTGTTTTTAGTGTATTTGTATTCCTGAAGGATCGTTTTTTTTAAATTTCTGAATAAGCCTTCTTCATCTGTTACAACAATTACTTATTTATTTGAAATTATGAAAATTACAATGCTTTGTTGACTACCTGAATTACATAAATAGTTTAGATGCTGCGATTTCTTTTTATTTTTTCGTAGAAACACACTTCCTTCCTTAAAACCTTTTTTAAATTATTATTACTTTAATAACAACTCATTGTAAAACCGGTCATAGGATTATGAGATAAACGTAGCCATAAATTTGTATAAAAAAGTAATTTACGAAAACGCCGCTTAAACGAGTTAATATTGTTGAAATTCTAGAGGCCTACCTCAAAATATAGAATCAGATTCAGAGATTTTTTTTTACTGAACCACAATTCACAAATTTAACAATGTTGGCTTTTTGTAATTAGTTTATTTTCAAGATTTTTAGTTTTCGTTGAAACGTTTTCGAATTTTCGAAATCTCACGTCTTATTTGATAATGTTCAATATTCAACAACACAACTTTTAGAACATTGAATGAACTATGTTATTGGTGAATTACAAAAACTAGTCTTTTATTAACAAAAAAATCATAAAACTTACCAGAATTGTATTATTTTTCGGTATGTTTATATCATAAAAACATAAGCAAAATGCGGTTATAATAGTTTTACGTATTAATCACACACAAACACTTTTATCGACTTTCGTTCGATAAAGATTCGTACTTTATCATGACGGCGACAAGCAGAGCTGATAAAAATCGTCCATACATAAATAATCTAATTTATAATCTGTCATTGTAACCTTTGAACTTTAAACGGATACTCGACTGATTTTTGTTACCATTCGTTTCATCTCGGCACTATCTATATTGCGTAACATGAATCACTTATCGAGTTTTACAGTATTCGTCATGGACCAAATTATAAATAAGTATATTGTGGTCCAAGTGCAATATGAATTTTGCCCTAATTATTCATAATGACCAATGGCAAGCTACTTAGGGATGGGGATAGATACTTATGTTTTGAACTTCCTTATTTATTATTTACCCGGATTTTTTGAATATTATTTGTGGTGTTCGGACAATTTGATAAAAATACATTAAAGGTACATAGATATCCACGGGGACCGGAGAGGAGATCAAACAGCCAAGTACAATTATTAATCTGCCGAAAAATCTGCCGTCTATTCTACGGAAGAGACGGCAGAGAAGTTATTAGGGAACAATAGAATTTAAATCCACAAAGTCAATACATAACGTCAACTGTTTTTGTTAGCCATGTTATTTCTGTGCACTGAAAACAAAATCATTATATTTTAATTGGTTTTGTTCAAAGATCTAACGTCAAAATAACCTGTTAAAAAAAGAACGGAAACACAAGGTCTCTGAACTTTGCCAGAGGAAAAGCAAATGTGGCACCAAAAGAAGGTTCTGGAAAAAAGTCTTAACGATTCGCCAGTATTAATTATTAAAAAATATAATTACAGGTAATACGACATTTTCTGCCTCCCTAACTACGCTACGCGTTTATTTAGTTTCGTGTTCTCTTTTGTTTTTAAGATGAAATAGTCTTGAAATAATTTTAAGAATCTTTTAGTCGTTATTATATATTTTTTTAAAATTACATTTTAAATTTGAGTAGCTGTCCTTAAGAGCCATCATTGAATAGGATATATTAAAACTTATATTTATTAAATTGCTTACGATATTGGTTGTCAAAGACGTCTGAGAAGTTATCATTTATAGCAACGCTCCCGGATGTTTTGAAATTCATTTCCCTCTGTTAATATATTACATATAAGACCCGATGTGAAGTAATGGAATAAATTATTAGCACCAAAACTAAGTTCTGGACCGATTTTAAAAACTATTTTACTTGCGGGAAGCTACATTCATAACCTAAAGACATAGGCTATAATTTACGCGACAGAAGTCGCGGGAAAACAGCTAGTCTTAAATAAATTCGAGGATATTTATAAAAATGGTATTATACTAAAACCTTCCTTATTAATTGATTAAAACCGCATTAAAATCTGTTCAGTAGTTTTTGTGTTTATTGCATACAAACAAACAAATTGTTTTATTTTACATTTTAAGTTAATTGCGTGAAGAAATTCTTTAATACTTGCTGCTATGAGTAACTATTAGACTTAAATAACACACACTATTTATTCAAGCGAATGACTCATTTGTATACATATCGTTTAAGAATACTAATTGTATATTATAATGTAGCATAAGAATTATATATCATTTGACCTTTGAACTGCATCACAAAAGGGATATGATAATTGTGATAAACTGTTTAGATTAGTATTTTATGGTTTACGAGTTTTTTATAAGTTAAATCATCGAGTTTGGTGTCCTTGCTCTTCAATTTCTTTGGCGTTTTAAGATATATCTTTACCTTTATTACTTTTTTATTATACAGACCTACTTTCTTAAAATTGTATAATGACATTGATTTAATTACAGTGTTTGTCTATATTATTAAATGATAACTACTCTACTTCAAT